CATGTGCACGTGCTGGGCAGGTCGCTCAGGCGTAAACTCACCAGCCACTTAAGGTCCACCCTGATAGTAACAGGTTGGACTCCATGTTCACCTGAAGAGAAAAACTCATGGATTCCTCAAACTGTAGTCCGTATCGCCTTCATGCACATCCATGATGCTGAACTCCAGCTCCTCCATGTTTCAGTAGCACTCTGATGGATTCACATCTGTGACCCAGAGCTCATTTATCCACAATGAACTGATTGTCATGTTCAAGAAACTGATCGACTTTATCACACGGTGTGTTATCCTGCTGGAGGCAGCCATCAGCAGAGGGGCGTGTCCTGGTCCTAGGTGGGCGTGTTGCTGTCAGTGCATGCACATTCAGGATGCTCTTCTGCTTACTTTGGTTGTAACAACTTGTGATGTGAGTTACTGTTGCCCAGGCCTGCACGATATGGCCTAAAATCCATATCACCGTATAATTTGAAGCATGTGCGGTAATGATTTATATTGTGATATATTCTTTTCTTCTACTGTTGTTCCAGATTTACATAGTCTACAACAAGAGGACGGGGAAGCCGCGGGGCTTTGCATTCATTGAATATGAGCATGAGAGAGACATGCACTGTGAGTACCAATATGAACCCAAACATAGTTATGTTACTTAAAGACCAAATACTGTGTGCAGGGCGTTTCTCCTCTGCAGCTCTGTAACAGCAGCAGCTTTCTCTGTAGTGACTGCTGCTGAGTGAGAGCCCAGCTGCTGGTTAGTGCTGGAGCTCTGCTGTGTGTGTGTGTGTGTGTGTGTGTGTGTGTGTGCGTGTGTGTGTGTGAGAACGTGCGTGTGTGTGTGTGTGCGTGTGTGTGTGTGAGAACGTGCGTGTGTGTGTGTGTGTGTGTGTGTGTGTGTGTGTGTGTGTGTGTGTGAGAACGTGCGTGTTGCGTGTCATCAGTCTGGTCTAAGAACGGTGTTCTCAGCAATAAAGACTTGTTTTCTTTTTTGCATCTTGTGTGTGGGGGCGGGGTCAACTGTTTCATTTGTGAGCCTGAACATCTTTGCCTGTCAAAGGCACATTGTCTTTTTAACTGTTAGGCCTTGTAGCTTTGTGGAAGAGCAGCTCTCCCGGTTGGACTATAATGGTAAGCACATAGTCAGACTGGTCACCAAGCATTGAATGGGTTTTTTACCAGACATGTGTCAAAGCCCACGTTTTACAAACTTTTATCGGTGGTCTTCAACCCTGGTCATGGTGAGATTAATTCAGCCTTTCCACACTAGCGAGATACGTTAAGCTGGTGGCGATGCCACAGTAAATACTGTCTCTTTAGTCGAATGGTGTCATCGAACACAATGACGCCATTCTGGGATGTTGGTGCAATCAGCTCTTCAAGACCAGAGTTGCTGAATCACAGTTGTGTAGTTGGAGCAGGGGATGAACTGATGGGGAATGTGGGGTAAACAGTGTATTAACTGTATGTTGTTCTCATTGCCACTGCAGCCGCCAATCTGTGATGGCTATTGGCCAGAGCTGGCTGGCAGATGATGATGGTTATGATACATCTACACCCTACTACCACAGCTCAGTATATGGTTGGTATAATGGGTTTGTATGATGGGTAAGATTTTTTTCCACCCTCCATCTCCTACATAGGGATAGGGTTCAATGGGTAAAGCGTCTTCTTGCAGACCCTAAAGAGCTTTTATTCAGACTTTTACCATTGAACGCACCCGACCGCCTGTCCTAAATGTCACCTCAGGTTAATGAAGGCAGTGGTAGCTGAGCCTGAGAGAGCCACACGCATGATTAAATGGCTGCCATTCGCATTAGCTGGAGTTTGTTGTGACGTGGAGTTTGCAGTCTTTCTCATTGCACAGCACTAAATTGCTGCAATGCTTAACTTGGCAGCCTTACAAACTGCAGACTGTCACCAAAAAGCTTTAATCTCATCATTTATTTACTGATAATCTTGTTGTTCATCACAGTGAAGAGTGAAGCTCCACACGCTAATCAAGAGGTTCCTGTGCTGTCAGCTCAAAGAATAAGTGTTCCAGGATGGGTCCCCAACAAAATGGATAAGTTAGTGCAGGGGCTGCAAAACATCTTTGACTATCTTTAACATGATTCACTTGAAGTTTCCGAGTGTCGTGTATGAGCCCCCCAGTTTGGGTTTTCTTCCCTCAACCAGGCTTGTCGGGGTCATGTGATCAGCCCCTTTGCGCAGCCACAAACAAACCGTTGTGGTTCTCAGTCTCGCTCTCACTTAGCTTTAATGATTGTCACTGCGTATCCAGCAGACAGTAAATGCAACAGGAAATGACCGCCCGGGGCCAAAGTTTCCAGGTGCTAGTTTTTACAATTCCAGTTTATAACATCTGCGCACTGAATGCATCTCAGCCTACACATCCATGGCATGCCAGTGTTAGGAACATTTCTTTCTCAGTAGGTTGGAGTTGTGATAAAGCCAGTCCTGCAAAGAAGCCCAGTTTTGTTTGTTTTGGGTTTTTGTTTTATATTTTTCCACGTTTCCTTTTCCCCACGTGGTCCATGTCAGTAGGACTGGTGGTAAAATCCTTCTTGAAGAGGGAAAGGGTTCGGGGTATGGTAAGTAGATGTGCTGTGACACTGTCGTGGTGTGGAGGTACTTTAGTGAGGCCTTAAAGCTCGGCCTGAGCCTTTCTGAACTCTTATCAGTGAAATGATGTTGTGTCTGGAGGGTTTTGGTAAGGCCCCTTTCATGGATGGTAACGTTTTAGCCTTGGCTCCACACATCAAGTAGCTTAGTCTGGACCGTGGCACGTTCTTCCATCAGTCAACATGGGTCATAACATTGTGTGGTACACGAGTGGACAGTTTGCCAGGTGCTGATGTTCCTACTGTATGTTGCTCTCAGTAAACCTGTAAATGAAAGCAGCTTTGTGTAATAACAGAAGCTGCTGCAGCTTTTTACCAACAGCTCGATGCATTTAAATCTTCTAGAAAACAAAGTCTTATTGTAGACGTGTCAGCGGGTGGCACAAAGGTTTAGCAGCAGTGAATCCAAACATGCCACAGCTTTATGAAACAGCACCTTAGTCTATCAAACAGCAGCTCTTTGGTGTAGCTGGTGTAGGACCCCGAGTAAGTAAAAGAAACGGTGTAATGTAACAATCACTCTTCGGGTGGAAGGAAGTCTACTCCCATTATCCTTCGACTTTTGCCCAGAGAGCAGCCATGTCGGCTTCGCCTGCTCCTGGTCAGTATAATAATGCACTGTTTGTTTCCTTAGCCATATTCCCTCGCTCCCTTTCCTCACCTTTTATCTTCCCTCTTCCCGTTACTCTTCTCCAGCCGCCTATAAGCATGCTGACGGGAAGAAGATTGATGGCAGAAGGGTCCTGGTGGACGTGGAAAGAGGACGTACTGTCAAAGGGTGGCGTCCTCGCAGGCTAGGTGAGCACTGCTTTCTAAGTTGTTCGCCGTTAGGCGTCCCTCCACTGTGGGACTGTAATGTGCAGCGCCTTTGTTTTTACAAGGTGGCGCTGTAAACATTCGCCTGAAGAAAGCGGACTTCTCATGAACATGTTAGAAATGTTTGTGGTTTCTCTGTCTAGGTGGTGGACTGGGTGGCACCAGGCGAGGCGGCGCTGATGTCAACATCAAGCACTCTGGTCGAGATGACGCGTCACGCTATGACGACCGTCCTCTTGGGGGGTGGGTCTTCGTTCTACATTTGTAATTTGACGTAAAAATACAAACTGCTGTAAATACTTATTGCAACTGTGCTGCCCACAGTGACCGTGACCGTGGAGACCGGAGGGAACGCAGCCGTGAACGGGACAGGGACAAGGACAGAGAGCGTCGCCGGTCCCGATCTCGCGAACGCCGTCGCCACACCCGTTCCCAGGAGCGAGAAAGGGACCGACAGATCGTAGCAGCAGAGGACAACAGTGGTAGTAACCGGCGTCGAGATCGCGAAAGGGAGCGTGGGGCGGCATCGGGAGGAGACAGCAGGAGCAGGGAGAGGAGTCGAGACCGGAAGAGAAGGAGCAGGAGCAGAGATCGTAAAAGAGACAGGGACAGGGCGAAGGGGCCAGAAGGAGGGGAGGAGATCGGCCAAGGAGAAGCTGCCCCCGAGGTCGGAGAGCGCATGCTGGAGGAGCACGAGGGAGAAGCGAGTGAGGGCTTAGAGGAGCGTAGAGACAGGGACAGGGACAGAAGGCGTAGCCACAGGGACAGGGACAGACGCAGGGGAGATCGGGACAGAGACAGGGAGCACAAACGGGAGCGTGGCGAGAGAGACAGGGGCGATCGGCGAGAGGAACGGCACAGCTCCCTGCGAGATGACATGGGCCCTCAAGACGACATGGTAAACGAGGATGATGGAGGAGTGCCGCCACAGATGGAGGAATACAGCCAGGATGGGATGATGGCGGGCCAGCAGTCTGCGCCGTCAGCTGATGGCTACGTTTCCAGTGAAAATGGCTACAAGATGGAGGCTGCAGGAGACGAGTACTGAAACGAAGCGCCCGTCGGAGCGTCTCGTACACCGTCTGTGTTCGTTGACCTTTGTGATGTCAGAGCCTTCCTGTCAGTCTGTTTCTGTAACCTGGTGTCATGGTACGCTCAACATGACCCCACTAATGTGTGCCACTACATCACACTCTCATTTTACTGTAGCGATGGTTTTGGTTGTAGTCCCCCCCCCCCCCCCCCCCAAAAAAAACAAACAGACACAAATAAACTTTGTTTTGAAATGGGTCGATGGTGTAGCCGTTTTAATTTCCAGATCTAGCAGCCACGTGAGTTTGGTAAATGTGTCCCGATGAGCATCCTGTCAGGTTGAAGATGTAGTGTTGTGGCAGTTATGAGCTCTTCTGTTTATTCCTTTTTATTAATCTCCTGCTGTTGGTAATATTTGCAAGGACATTTTAATAAAGATGTGACTTAAAGCCAGAAAGTTTCACGCCATTCACTTTGCATCCTTTGTCCATGAGTCTGTGCCAAATGTTTTATTTCGTAGTCTCCGATCAGTTCTTACAAACCTGTCACCCCAGACCAACAAGGCCAGTTACAGGATATCCAGAGCACATGTAGCAGTGCTCTATCAGCCTTTCAGCTGGGTGATAAATATTAAAAACGCCCATCAGACAACAGCAGATACTGCAAGTGTGTGAGGGATGTCCTTTGTTGTGTCAGTGCGTGGAGCACATGAGTCCTGCGTAGATGACATCGCTGCTTCGCGCACTGAAGCCGCAGCTGGAGGAGAGCTGCTGCGTCAGGTTGTAGTCTCGAAGCTCCACTCACGATGCTAAGCAGGCTGTGGGCAACGATGGGCCACGCACTGCTGTGAACAACATTAATCGGCCATACGAGGTGTTCGTTGGATCAGTGTGCACCGAGTCCGCGATGATGTCCTCGTACTACCACCCGGCTAAAGAAGCAGACATGGCGGCCATGACAGAACCGCTGTGCCTGGAGAGAGGTAACGTAGCTAGCAGGGTAGCTAACCCTAACCCTGGAGAGAGGTAACGTAGCTAGCAGATGCAGTGTGTGTGGGAGACGTGCTCGCAGTCTGATTCCACAACAAAGGCGAAACGATGATCGTTGGCTTGTCTGATGCATACAAAGGTACCGATGTACACGTCCCTGGGCCCCGCCTCCGCTCCTACACTGACACGTTTGTTTGCTGTGGTCGGCTTCTTTGGGTTTTACGGCCCCATCTCCTGCGTCTTTAGCGGTATGGAGCTTGGTTGGGCCTAAAATGCTGAGTATCCATCAGCGCATGATCCAGTCGGTGAGGAGGATCGTGTTCGACGTCTGTTAATGCACACAGACCCTAACGACACAAGTTAATAATGTAACCACGACACAGTTTAGATGATGTGCGCAGCAGGGGTGACTAGGACGTAACCTTTAGGGGGGCTCGGTCCCCAGTGCCACGCCTACCTCTCAGTTACTGTGAACGCTGCTCGCAGACACGTTCAGTTTTTTAAACTCTTTAATTACAACACCACCTTCAAAAGCAACCCTCCTTAGTGGGATGACCTGTTGTAGTGTCAAAGATAAATAAATTAGCCCATGTTTTCAATATAATACACAGGTTCACACTGGTAAAACTGATCAAACAGCCATGGATGAAGCATCAAAAGTGTGTGGGATACTGTACAGTCTGTGCTACATATACCTGTATACACATATGCTGTGGATCATGGTGGTGACATCGTGCTCTGGGGATGTTTTGCTGCAAGTGCTACTGGTATATCCACACAAAGAGGATGGAGTAACGTCTTCAACTTAACCTCAAGTGAAGAAAACTGGATGTTCCAGCAGGACAGATATTCCAAATACTCATCAAAATTGGTTTTGGAATCATTAAAGCAGCTTAACATCATATCTGTGTAGGTTCTCAGTCATCCAGGTCACGGTAGTCTAAGGAGCTTGGGGAAAAATGTAACTGGACTTCTTTAAGTTTCTTGAAGACGTCTCATCTGAGAAGCTTTGTCAGTTCTAAGACTGGGTGGACAGCCCCAGGTATCTATCCCAGTGGGTGACCCACTATCATGTGCTTCATTACATGAGTCAAGGTGTGAAATGGGTGCTTGGATCCTTAATTAATATTTAATTAAAGGTATAATTCCTCTGTTATCTTCTTCAGTCCCGTGTGCAAACACAGTGCAGTGAAGCTGCTAAACGTTTTGTTTTGGTTTTTATACCTGACCTGTCCAATAGTTTTAAGAAGTAGAATCATCGTCTGACTACTTGGTTGTGTCAAAAATATTTGCTTTGCCGAGAGGAGCGCTATAGACTATAGGCTCCTCATGTTAGTCTTTTTATTTTATATTTACAATATTATCTGAGTGGTTATTATTCTGGAGCTGACGGGGTGAGGGCCTCGTTAGTGAAAGAGACAGGAGGTAACATAAACACATTTTGCAGACCTCTTTCCCCCTTATTTATAAGAATGGTCAAAGAATTTATGATTTCTTTCAGAACTACTTCTTCTGTGAAGACTGCCAATGATCACCCTACTATTAAAACCATATATATATATATATATATATATATATATATATATATATATATATATATATATATATACATATATATATATATATATATATATATACACACACGTACATATACATAAACCCCTCATCGGAGCACTAGGTGAGTGGCTCCAGCAATTTTTTTTTCTTTAATCCCCCTCTCGCCCCTGTGGGCGGTTTATCCTTCAAGCTCGGGTCCTCTACCAGAGGCCTGGGAGCTTGAGGGTCCTGCGCAGTATCTTAGCTGTTCCCAGGACTGCGCTCTTCTGGACAGAGATCTCCGATGTTATTCCCGGGATCTGCTGGAGCCACTCGCCTAGCTTGGGAGTCACCGCACCTAGTGCTCCGATTACCACGGGGACCACCGTTACCTTCACCCTCCACATCCTCTCGAGCTCTTCTCTGAGCCCTTGGTATTTCTCCAGCTTCTCGTGTTCCTTCTTCCTGATATTGCTGTCATTCGGCACCGCTACATCGATCACTACGGCCGTCTGCTTCTGTTTGTCTACCACCACTATGTCCGGTTGGTTAGCCACCACCATTTTGTCCGTCTGTATCTGGAAGTCCCACAGGATCTTAGCTCGGTCATTCTCCACCACCCTTGGGGGCGTCTCCCATTTTGACCTCGGGACTTCCAGGTTATACTCGGCACAGATGTTCCTGTACACTATGCCGGCCACTTGGTTATGGCGTTCCATGTATGCCTTGCCTGCTAGCATCTTGCACCCTGCTGTTATGTGCTGGATTGTCTCTGGGGCATCTTTACACAGACTGCACCTGGGGTCTTGCCTGGTGTGATAGACCCCAGCCTCTATGGATCTTGTGCTCAGAGCTTGTTCTTGTGCTGCCATGATTAGTGCCTCTGTGCTGTCTGTCACATCCCCATTGAGTTCCTGATGAAGGCTCTTCTAGGCATTCCAGGATCCAGGTGTGGGGCATCGAGTCATAGGTCTCTTTGTAATCAATCCAGGCAGTGCACAGGTTGGTCAGACTGGTCTTGTAGTCTCAGCTAACTGCTCGATCTACCAGTAGCTGCTGTTCATCTTAGCCACTATGACGCCTGACAGGAGCTTCCACGTGGTGCTGAGGCAGGTTATTGGTCGGTAGTTGGAGGGGACCGGTCCCTCCTGGGGGTCCTTGAGGATCAGGACTGTCTGGCCTTTGGTTAGCCATTCCGGATTTCTCTCTGGTTCATCTGTGCTGCCAGACGCTCATGGAGTGCAGTCAGCTTCTTCAGACAGCAGGCGTGATCCATGTCAGGTTCTGGTGCTGTCCAATACTTTATACTGGAGACCCTGTCTTTGATATATGTCACTGTGATGGTTACTGGACCCTGTTCACATCGTCTAGTAGATCTTCTGAGGGTACTTCATGTAGTCTTGATTAACCATCTACAGAAGATCCAGGTTTCAAGCTTTACCATGATCCTATTTTTCAGGATCAGTGCACTCAACAATCCTTCTTCCATCACACTTGGGGCGAAGTACCCAATCTCGGGTGGGGGTGATGAAATCTCACCCCTTTAAACTCCCTTTCAACAGGAAGGAAACAGGAAGAAACCTCTGGCAGAACCAGACTCAGGGAGAGGCGCCATCTGCCGTGACCGGTTGGGGTGAGAGAAGGAAGACGGGATAAAGACATGCTGTGGAAGAGAGACAGAGATTAATAACAAGTGTGATTCAGTGCAGAGAGGTTCTGGATCTCTGTCCAGAAGAGCGCAGTCCTAGGAACAACAGAGATGCTGTGCAGGACCCTCAAGCTCCCAGGGCTCTGGAAACTGCTCCGTCTACCATTGGTTGATGCGTTGCGCCTCTGGTATTCCTGCCGATTCCTCTCTGTGGCCTGCTCATGTATTGAGCCTTCTGTCTGTTCATCTTAGCCACTATGTTGCCTGACAGGCGCTTCCATGTTATGCTGAGCAGAGATGGGCAGTGACACGTTACTGTAATCCGATTACTTTTTTCAAGTGACGAGTAAAGTAAAAGATTACTAAGGGATCCGCCCCACTCCTGCTAAACAGGTGACAATAGATTTAGGAGCTGCTGAGTCTTTGATTTTATTCATTTATTTGCTGAGTTTTACTTGCATCTATTTGAAAGAGTGTAAACACAAAACATTATTTTATTTGATATGCTGGAATATGCAGAACATAGGTTTAAATTAGAGCTGGGCGATAGAACGATAACAATATGTATCGCGATATAACTTTTACTCGATAGAGAAATTAAACTATCGCGATAGACCTCGCCGCTCTTGTCCTCTTAAAAAAAAAAAAAAAAAAAAAGGTCAGCCAATCCAAATTAAGTAGCACAGAGCCGAACCAATCACAGCCGCAGCGTCACGTCGCGTGACTTGTTACGTACAGCACAAGTGCCAAGCCGCACGTGTGTTTGTTTGGGAAGCAGCCAGCGGGTAATGGAGGAAATGAGTGTGCCGACTAGAAAAATCAACCGAGCGTGACCGAAGAGAAAACAGATGATGGTTGCAACGCCGGAGAGATTGTCGAACGGAAGAGCCATAGAAGTTCCGTAGTGTGAAGGTATTTCGGCTATTTCAAGTCTGACAAAAAACAGAGTAGCGTGCACTGTAAATTGTGCCGAAAGCAAGTCTGGAAATACAATAAACTGGTGCATGCGTCACACTGTGCGCCACGTTATTGTTTCGGTGAAATGAATTTCTACAATACTGTTAATTCTACTCTCTGCAGTGTTTAAATGCTTACATATACACACAGTTACTGTCCCTCCACACATACGACTGTTCTGCTTCTATGCCCCAGCTTTGTTTACTTTTTCCCACCGAGGCTTCTAGACTTCTGATTGGCCAACATTTCTGCACGGTTAGGAATCTAGCGCCACCTGCTGCTTTGGCATGTTCATAGCAGCGTTTTCCTTCATTTCTGCCTTTATGTGTGGACGGGATTATTTTTTAAAACGAAAACGGAAAATCTCCGTTTTCAAAAATACCCGTGTACATGTGGACGTAGCCTCAGTCTCTGACTGGAAGCGCTAATTCGTCATTCGGCTTTTGTCAGACTAAAGTAACTGTTAAAACTGTTTGAAAAGCTCAGCTATACAACAAGGAGAGATTGAGAATTTCCTTTTAGTTCTCAGTTTATTTGATATTGACAAAAGTTAGTCAGTTTTGTCTGTTCTTCTGTAAAACAAACTAAGATTTATTTTTAGAATTAATATTTTGTTTCTAAGTGGAATTGACAGTTTAGTCTGTTTCGTTTGTTCTATTTTGAAACTTAAACGCTTTAGCGGCTGCCTTTTGTGTAGTTTGCAATATTTGCCTTTATTTATCTGAAAAAGTCTCATGTTCCTTAAGTACATCTACCCTGTTGAACTTATTATGGGAAATAAATATTTAAATAAAAACAAGCTGCTGATTATTTCACATTTTACTTGTGAGCAACGGCACATTTAAATCTTACAAATATAGTTATTTGGCTTATATCGTGATAGATATCGTTATCGCCTGAAATGAAAAAAACATATCGTGATATGAAAAAATCTCATATCGCCCAGCTCTAGTTTAAATGGTAAATTTCTTCATGTGAAAGACTGTAACATATACTTAAATTTTTGCTTGATGAAATGTGCATGAAGTTAAAAGATTAAAACTAATAAAACAATTTTTAAAAAGAGACTTTTCCATTTGATTCGATTTGATATGATGATTATGCAGAAAAATAGAGTTGGGCTGAAAGGTCTGTTGCTTTATTACGTATTCAGATTAGGTATCATGTTTTTAAAAAGTAATAAGTAAATAAGTAATCTCAGAGTGACGCTGAAAAACTAGTTCATGCATTTATTACTTCCAGGCTGGACGACTGTAATTCATTATTATCAGGAAGTCCAAAAAACTCCCTGAAAAGCCTTCAGCTAATCCAAAATGCTGCAGCAAGAGTCCTGACAGGGACTAGAAAGAGAGAGCAGATTTCTCCTGTTTTGGCTTCCTGTTAAATCCAGAATTCAAAATCCTGCTCCTCACATACAAGGTCTTAAATAATCAGGCCCCGTCCCCTGCTGTTGTGATTTGGTACTGCATAAATAAAATTGAATTGGTATTTGATAAATGGGAAATGTAAAGCTTACATGTGAGTCCTTGTGTTTTTAAATTAGGTTTATACATGTGATGTGTCTGTTCATATGGAGAAATCTGCTGAGAAGCAAAATAGGCTGTTATTTAAGTGTTGCTTGCAGGATGAACAGGTTAGCTTGCTGTACTGTGATGGCTCTACACTAAAGAACAGCGTGTGACGGGTGCACAGTACCTGTGGTGCTTATGGTCAGAGTTAGGTTACATCAAGTGTAGCAGGGATTAGTTAAGCTGATGATGGTGAGATTCATTCCACCTTCATGCTAACTTTATATCATCTAGTATAAAAACAGCATGAGCAGTGTACTGTCAAACATCTGCGTACGTCTTGTTCAGTTCGGTCGTGTAAGTCCACAAAGAGCAGTAAAACTCAGAGCAGCAGCAGCATGTAGCTACTGGAGCGCTCAAAAGAAAGTGTAGTGATTTGTAATTCTTTTCCCCGTACACTAGTTTGTGTACTTAAAAGGCCGAATGTGGATTCATTGTCCTTTTCTGTCAGGTAGTCTCCCGCCATCATGGCCTGGGGTGCTTTTTCCTTCAGTGGAACATCAGGAGGTGCAGGGCTGTCAAACAGCTGCTGGCTGTGTCCAGATGTTGCAGAGAACATCCCTCATGACTGAGGGCCCTCGTCTGTGTGGTAACCACTGGGTTTATCAACAGGACAACGCTACAGTACACAATGCTGCAGGACAAGAGACTTCTTCTAGGACAATAACATCACCCTGTTGGACCATCCTGTGTGTTCCCCTGATCCAAATCCAACTGAGAACCTTTGGGGATGGATAGAAAGGCAGTAGATGCCTTCATGCGGCCGTCTTCACCACTTGGAGAAATGTTCCCACTCACCTCATGGAAATGCATCCTGTGACTGTGGGAGGGTCTGTAGTGTCCACAGACAGTGTTGTGTTGCTGTGTTGTTAATCCTGGCTTGTGTGTGTTGTGGGTTAGATGTATGCAGGGTGATCGAGCTGCTGGACCGGCTGCAGCGGACTGGTGAGCTGCCTCCTCCCAAACTGCAGGCCCTGCAGAGAGTCCTACAGAGCAAATTCTGCGCTGCCATCAGAGAGGTAAAGTGCCACGGCCCTTTTAAAAGAATGTTTAATAATCGTTTTCCTAATGTCCGGTGCATAAAGTGAGCATTGTCACGTCCTCGCAGTCTGTTTAAAAGCAACTCTTTTCATTTAATCATCTCAGACTTTTTTAAATGACCCATGTGAGAACATGTGCACTTTCTTCCTTTCTTTTTGGACATTTTTGTCTTTATTGAATGGTGGCGCAGTGGAGATGGACGATACGCAGTAAAGACCGTGGATTGGACTCTGACCTGGGCCTCAGCACACTGGCCGTACAGCCTTCAGTAGAGATTAGTACATGAGCTGCTCTGCCTCCTGAGCTGCAGCCACATATTTAGCCTCCAATCAGTGAAAACTACACTTTAAGTTTGAGGCCATTTACTAAAATCTGATGCTGAACGAGCAACCAGCCACCACGCTGGCGTTCTTGGCAACACTTGCATTTAAAAAGTTAAGTTAGATAACTAATGACTGTAACAACTAATGACTTAATGAATAACTAAATAGTAAAGAAGATAACAGAAAGTAAATAAGTGTGAGCCTTGAAGCTGTTATCAAAGACTGACTGAAAGCACATGGTGCAGTTTCTTATATTTAGCTAATAATAGAATTTATCATGGATGTTTGCAGTGTTATCCATTGTCTGTGTATCTACTGCACTGTGTGATGCTACATCCCCATTACACTCCAGTCTGAGCCACCTTTGTTCTGCTTTGTTGTCCTTAGGTTTATGAGCAGCTCTATGACACTCTAGACATTGTTGGAGGACCAGAGGTGCGAGCACAGGCAACAGCCAAGGTATTACAAATGACAAAGCAGCTTTATGTTAGAGATTTGGGCTGTTTGTGATTGCAAACCACAGCAGTGTTGTAGTTCTTAGACTACGACGCTCTGCTAATGCCACTACACACACTGTAGTGGCATCTTTAGTCAAAGTGGGAAAAATCTGACTACACATTGGAATATTTAACTGTACTGAGCAGACACTGAGATACTGAGAACAGTGCAGTATGCATTTGTTAAACTGATAAATATGTTTTAACAAAAGTAGTACAGTTAAATGGGATTAACAGTGCAGCACTCCTGCAGTGCTGGAATATGGTGACCTCTGTCATAAATGGACTGATTCTTATACAGCGCTTTTCTACTCACAGCTATACAACAGGCCTCATTCACCCAGTCACACAAGCACTTCCTTCTATACTTAAGTGCAAACTAATCTACATCCACACTCCGATGGATGCATTGGTGAGCAACTTGGGGTTAGTATCTTGCCCAAGGATATTTGGCATGTAGACTAGGGGAAGCCAGGGATCGAACCAGCAACCTTCCAGTCAGTGGCTGATCTGCTCCACCGCCTGAGCCACAGCCACCCCATAAATGAAAGGTTTGCACCAGAGTGGCAGAGTGTGGAATTTGTTTTTGCTCAAAACAAGTGAAGATGTAGTGATCGTGCATCTCCCACTGAAACAGTAGGATGCATAGTTGAAGGGAATCTTGAAATGCTACAGATGAATGCAGCGTTTAATACATGAATTTGCACTGAAGAATACCACCTGACATCCTTCCAGAGTTTGCCTCTGACGGATATCTTTGTCTCCTTAAGCCTTTGACCTCTAAAAGCCTGTCACGGTGCCATGTGAGGACGAATGCTCGGCTGGTTAGCCGGCTCCACAGTGTGCTCTTCCTGACGTCTACTTTCAGCAGTTTGAAATGCTGAGCAACTTCATGTTTTGTGTCCTTACTCTCTCTGTCTGGGTTTTTTCTTCCTTTGTTTCCCTTTCCTTTCCTCTTTTCTGGCAGCTTTTGCAATCAGAATTTACTATTGTTAGAAACATATTTGCATTTCTACCACACATGCTCTCTATCCGATTGTTAAGTGATGACGTGACGAATCCTACTTCCGGGTCTAAAGTAGTCTGCGTTTAATATGGCTTTTGTGTTGTTAACATGTTTAATGTTTTGTATTTTCTTCTATTTGATCTCAAAAAGCTCCTAAAACAGTCAGTGATCACTGTTGACCTCCCTCGGCTTTTATTACCGCTAATCATTTATTTAAGCTCAGTTTTTAAAACCTTAGGATGTAACTACAGCCCAGCCCATGCAGCAGTATATGAATGACTAACCTCGTATTGTGGATGGATTATCTCAGTTGTTCTCCTGGCTGAAGTTTGGTCCTTTTACAGCATCCTGCCACGCGATTACATTTGTTCCTGACCACCGAGAACACTCACGTTAACTTTTATCGAGTGGAAAAAAAGTTAGCTTGTTTATATTATGCTAACATAGCTGTGTCGCTAGCAGTCACGTAGCACATCATTATATACCAGCTAGCCCAACTTCAGTAACCCTACAAACGTCACTGCTGTTTAGTTTCCTGTCTTCATTTATGTTGGAAGTGATAACAGAGCTGTACGTTTTAATTTATTTCCAAAACCCTGCAGTCAGGACATGCTATATTGTATTTAGATAGAAGCTAGCGAGCTAACTCCCTGCTAACTTCTAACTCTGTTAAATGTCATAAATTCCGTTTTCATGGGTGCCTGGATGTTAAACTCAATAGTTACACCTGGTAGAGCAGAACGCTGATCATTTTATTAAAGATGAAAGACTTTAGACAGTTTTTCAACTCTCAGTAATGCCACAGTGATCGTTTGATATATGGACCTGCAGCGGAGTTTAGGCCCAGACACGGCTAGTGACGTCAGACTGAACAACCGGATAGGCTCCTTTTTGTGCTGTTTGTTTTTCATTATTTATTTTAGTATATTTGATCTATTTATTAGGGCTGCACGATTTAGCATAAAATGAGAATCACAATTTTTTGGCTTAGAATTGAGATCACGATTTTCTCACGATTTTCTTTTCCAATATAAATATTTATTGCACTTATTAACTGCACATCAACTTCGTAACAGTTGAGACTGAACATAAAAACAATAAATAAACATAAAAACAACAAATGTCTCACATTTTGTCGTTGCCGAAAATGTACTGCTTGAAATTCCGTCTCCACCGTTGCTCGACGATGCGTGTATAGAGCAGGTAGTGCAACAATAGAAAAATAGTTGGCACTGTGTAGCGTTTGTCTAGGGTGTTGATCATTTTCCTAAATCCCTCGTTTTGCACAGTGTTGATGGAGCCATATCTTTGGTCAGGTGATAAGTGATAGCCTCCGTAATGTCTTTGTGCCTGCAGGAGTTCGACGGGTATAGGGAAGCGCTGTATAAGGTTCCGTTATTGATGTTTGGGTGGTTGACCGGGACGGATTTTCTCCAGTCACTTTCTCGTCATCCCTGACGTGCTCTCCGTTGTTTTTTCCCTGCTAATTGACCCTGTGCATGAGAAAATGCTAACTTCCTGGTTTGAGACCGGATGTGGGGTTGTACATTTCCGGTAGCTTTACTTTGCGGTCAATCGCTACTGTGAAGATATCCTCCAAAATCATGTCCAAAACTCGAAAACGGAAAGATGGCGTTAAGTTACAAAGAGCAGAAGGTGGGAACACTCACCGCTGTTGTGTCATAAAAAATCTAATGATCAATTTTGACGTTTAAAGCGTTTAGATCGATCAGTTGTTTACATCGCTCAACACAAGCAGAACTGCATCACTGCAGCAGACGACACATCGTCCACATTCAGAATCACATCTTTGTATAGTGACGGGTCTTATGATTTAAACAGGCAAATGTTCAGCATTCAAACTACAGGTGAACAATAGTCAAACCAGATGTTTCCCGTTATGTCGAGATCAGCTAGTCAAGTACACACCTACACAGCATGTTAACAAACCGTGAAAAAAGCCACACAAAAAACGAATGATTGCTGGTAACGGTTTCTATACATTATTATTTATGAAGGGTATGTTGTGACTTACCTTCAAAATTACAGCGGTCCCTCGCTATAACGTTCACCTTTCACCTCGCTGTTTCACAGATTTTTTTAGTGCAAGTTTGCACGTTTTTTTACGTCACATTGTGTCCTGATCGCTGCAGACGATCTCCGTGACGTCTCTCCTGTACAGTACAGAATCGCTGCATCGATCGCTGGCAGTGTGACTCTGAAGTGTAGTACTGTATGTCCACGATGTCCACGAAACGTTTTGCACTGTCAAAAAATAAAATTGGCTCCTTGATTTCACCTCTCGCTGGTTATTTTTAGAACATAACACCCGCGATAAACGAGGGACAGCTGAGAAATATAACATTTGAATCCATTTTCTCTTTTGCTCTGAGGCGCGGGGGAAAAATATCGACAAGTCGATGAACATCAGAATCAGAATCAGAATCAGAATACTTTATTCATCCCGAGGGAAATTAGGGGTTACAGCAGGCAGCACGCTAATGGCGCATGCGCACTCACAAAGGAACCTTCTGACCAACTTTACACAAACATCATTTACAGATATATTGGGTAAATGCCCGAGACATCTATAGAAATGTAAATCGCTGCTTGATTCATTCATTTGCTTAACTTGTTTTGGACCGTAAACAAGGCGTGAATAGGACACCGGAAACAAAGCTCCCCACAGGAGTTTCTGCACCGGAAGTAGCACATGCTAACGTGCACACAGTCAATTTTAGCAGCCAGCTTCTGTATCACGTGGTATAAGGCTCCGTCCTTGTCATTTGTTGAGCAGGAAGAGTGAGCGCTTGTTTCCGTGCAGATTACGTCCCGGATCAAAATGCGGTACAATCGTCGTCGTCTTCTTTTTTTTTTGTAAATCGTTGTCATTTGGAAATGAGATCGCACATAAGTATGAATTGAGATCGCGATTTTCTAACGATTAATCGTGCAGCCCTACTATTTATGCATTTTTATTAAAATTATGTATATAATTCAGTTCTATTCGGTTTTATGTCTATAGAGCCAAATCACAAAAATAGTTGCCTCAAGGTGCTTTATACTGTAAGGTCGACCCTATAGATACAGAGAAAAACCCAACAATCATATGACCCCCTATGAGCAAGCACTTTGGTGACAGTGGGAAGGAAAAACTCCCTTTTAACAGGAAGAAACCTCCAGCAGAACCAGGCTCAGGGAGGGGCGGGGCCATCTGCTGTGATTGGTTGGGGTGAGAGAAGGAAGACAGGATAAAGACATGCTGTGGACTTTATGAGTTACTCAGATTGTCTATAAACAGGCCCACATTTAACACTACCACTGTGGGAAAATAGCTTGTTTTGTATTGCATCCTTTGAATGCAGCATATGTTTGTCCTCCCACCTGTGTACTGTCAGATCCTCTGTTTTGTGTAACAAATAGAGGTAACTGGAGATGTGATGTGAAATAGAACTTGTTGTTTTGCTCATCATGTGGTTTCCTCTCTGATTAGGCCACAGTGGCAGCCTTTGCAGCCAGTGAGGGGCACGCCCACCCAAGGGTGGTAGAACTGCCCAAGACAGAAGAGGGACTGGGCTTTAACATCATGGGTGGAAAAGAGCAAAACTCTCCCATCTATATCTCAAGAGTCATCCCTGGAGGAGTGGCTGACCGCCAAGGTGGGCTGAAGAGAGGAGACCAGCTACTTTCTGTCAATGGTGTGGTAAGAGGATCACAGAAGCCCACTTACAACCTGCTGAGGAGAGGTGCACACAGCGTGAAGACCAGAAGCAGTCACTGAATCCTGGAATTATTTTAAAAGTGTTAACTACAAGTATTTATCCAGTTTCAAGACCCCATTTAAAACCATTGTCTGTAGAATTTGTAAATCCAAAAATAACACAAGAACATTTCTTCATATACGGCACATTTACACTTTGTTTTTAGGTCAGGCGCATCAACAGTCACATTTATTATCATTTCTAGTTCATTTTGTACTTTATGTATGTTCAGTAGAACATCTACATAAATATACAGCATCAGTATATTATAATTGATATAAATAATTGATACTGTTTGATACTAATTGATTCGTTTAGCCTACCTGTTGGCCTGGATAAGGTGTTGCAGGGGTCAGGTGCAAAGTGTGTTGGGTGGGGTTCGGGGGCCATTCCTCCTGTCAGGTCCCTCCAGATCTCACTGTTGTTCCCACTGGGACAATGGGACGACAGACTCAATACTCTGAGGACCTCCTTAAGCCCACTGATGCGTCTCCTGTAGAAGCAAAGGCTGGGGACAGGAGAGACGACTCGTCCATCACTGAGGTGGTTAAACACCTCCGTGGTGGCTGGGCCTCTGGGGTGGATGAGGTTCACCCTGAGTTCCTAAAGGTGTGGATGGTGCAGTGTTTGTTATGCTGACATGCTGAGAAAGATGTAGAGCAGGGGTGCTCACACTTTTTCCGCATGTGAGCTACTTATAAAATGACCAAGTCAAAATGATCTACCCACTACAAAAATCCAAAACATATACTTATTTATAAATATATTGAGGATTCTTTATATCTACAATGTATATACATGCATAACCGCAATATCCAATATTTCACAACACAATTAACTATGTAAATTTTTTGTCATTACCTGAGTTTACTCTGATGACTTGCACTGAATTGAATCAGCCAGGGATGCATAGTCCGGACAGTAGCTGCTGACGGCCAGGTTTAAGAGAAAAAACCGAGAGCTAAAAATTGGAGTTAACTCGCTGACTAGCTTGTCAGTTTTACTACGCTTCGCGCCGCTGTTTGCGCATGCGCAGCGACCTAAGCGTCAGAAAAAATCTGCTGTCATCTGACTGGCTTCCCTGTATCAATCAAGTGACGGGATGGATGATAGGCTGGCATCTATTTTTTTTAATGCCATGCGATCTACCAATATTACCTTTGCGATCGACTGGTCGATCGCGATCGACGTATTGAGCACCCCTGATGTAGAGGATCTGTGCAACAGCTTTAAATTATTCCTAAATGCAGTGGAGCAACTTAAAAGACTGCTCTTAACCTATAATCTCTATCTCGTTCACTCACCTTATCCAACATTGATAGTGAAGGTGTTAAAGATCCTCCATCAGTCACTTTAATATGACTCAGATGTAACCATAAGAACAGGTTACTGGCACCCTGAGAGGTAGAACTGGCTGCCTGCCCACATCACTGGGAGGTTGGAGAGGTACTCTAGCCATACGTGACAAGAGATGTGAAAACATGAGAGTGTATCCATCTCTCTAAAATGAAGGAATACTGTAGAAGTGCATGTCAGTGCATCGTCATAGCTGAAACAGGTTAGCACTGTCCTTTCACTCCTGGAAAGTGTTGATAAGAAGTCATTCTTGTTTCTCTCTTCTGAACGGAGCAGCTTCTGTCCCCTTCCAGAACAAAATGAGTGGGTGTGCATCAGAAGTTAATGAGGGTGATCTCTGTGTGTACAGCTTACCAGGGCAACCCTCGGAAAAACCCACAACCTATTCCAGTCGCTGTCAAACCACTTAAGGGTAGAGGGGAGGTCATCAGACGTTCACTTTATGGGTAAAGAGTAAACGTAGTCGGAAGAAACGGCTTCTTGTAGCATGTCAGACTTTTGCTTTGTGTTGGTCTTCATGCAGAGTGTTGAAGGTGAGCACCATGAAAAGGCTGTTGAGCTGCTGAAGGCTGCACAGGGATCAGTCAAGTTGGTGGTCCGCTACACCCCGAAGGTGCTGGAGGAAATGGAGGCTCGCTTTGAGAAGATAAGGAGCGCCCGGAGACGACAGCAGCACACCAGCTACTCGTTAGTCTGCAGTCAGCATGTTTGTATGTGGTGTGCACCCATACATATAATCATATGTTTGGATACACACTGCTGTTATCCTGAGTGTGGCAACTAGTCAGCTGACCATTGTCAAGGACAGTGGGCAGTTTTTCTGTGTTTACACAATACACCACCAGTGTAAATAAAAGAGATAATTTGCGCATCTAATAAACTCTTAGATTTTATTCACAGAACATAAAATACATCTCAAATGTTTAAAATTAGATGCATATGAGATTGAATTTAATTCAGTGGACTTTTATTTAAACAGCGACAAATCACAATAACATGAAGACAATAATACAGCAAAAAACCCAACAATCATATGACCCCCTATGAGCAGCACTTTGGCGACAGTGGGAAGGAAAAACTCCCTTTTAACAGGAAGAAACCTCCGGCAGAACCAGGCTCAGGGAGGGGCGGGGCCATCTGCTGTGATTGGTTGGGGTGAGAGAAGGAAGACAGGATAAAGACATGCTATGGAAGAGAGACAGAGGTTAATAACAGATATGATTCAATGCAGAGAGGTCTATTAATACATAGTGAGTGAAGAAGAAACACCCAGTGCATCATGGGAATCCAAGTAGGCCTGCAGAGCGAGAGCGAAGTGCTCTAATAGGGTGATATGGTACTACAAGGTCATTAAGATAAGATGGGCCTGATTATTTAAGACCTTGTATGTGAGGAGCAGGATTTTGAATTCTGGATTTAACAGGAAGCCAGAACAGGAGAAATCTGCTCTCTCTTTCTAGTCCCTGTCAGGACTCTTGCTGCAGCATTTTGGATCAGCTGAAGGCTTTTCAGCGAGTTTTTAGGACTTCCTGATAATAATGAATTACAGTCGTCCAGCCTGGAAGTAATAAATGCATGAACTAGTTTTTCAGCGTCACTCTGAGACAGGATATTTCTAACTTTAGAGATGTTGCACAAATGGAAGAAAGCAGTCTTACATATTTGTTTAATATGTGCGTTGAAGGACATGTCCTGGTCAAAAATGACTCCAAGGTTCCTCACAGTGTTACTGGAGGCCAAGGTAATGCCATCCAGAGTAAGAATCTGCTTAGATACCATATTTCTAAGATTTTCAGGGCCGAGTACAATAACCTCAGTTTTATCTGAATTAAGAAGCAGAAAGTTAACGGCCATCCAGGTCTTTATGTCTTTAAGACATTCCTGCAGTTTAACTCATTGGTGTGTGTTATCTGGCTTCATGGACAGATAGAGCTGGGTGTCATCTGCATAGCAGTGTAAATGTATGCTATGTCTTCTAATGATGCTGCCTAAGGGAAGCATGTATAATGTAAACAGAATTGGTCCTAGCACTGAACCCTGTGGAACTCCATAATTAATCTCAGTGTGTGAAGAGGACTCTCCATTTACATGCACAAACTGGAGTCTATTAGATAGATATGATACAAACCACTGCAGCACAGTACCTGTAATACCTACAGCATGTTCTAATTGCTCTAATAGGATATTATGGTCGACAGTATCGAACGCTGCACTGAGGTCTAGCAGGACAAGCACAGAGATGAGTCCACTGTCAGAGGCCATAAGAAGATCATTTGTAACCTTCACTAAAGCTGTTTCTGTGCTGTGATGAGCTAGGGCTGCTCAATTAATCGAATTTTAATCACGATTACGATCTGGGCTTTCAACGATCATTAAAAATGACTGAGCTGATTATTAGCCCCTCCCTCATGCTTTACTCTCGCGCTGCTCCGTGTGGTAAATCAAGCGTTCCGCTCTCCATTTCCAACACACGTCACAACAATTAAGAGGACCCGAGGGAAGCTCGGAAAGCTAAGCAGAAGTTATTTGGAGAGGAGAGTGACTGCCGTTGGTTGAAAAGAGGTAAAAAAACTTCAGTGGTGTGGAAACATTATGGGTTCAGTCAGACGTGGATCAAGTAGACACAGTGTGTAAACTTTGCTACGGTGTCGTAGCTGCACCACAGAGCAACACTGCAAAGTTCACTAAACATAGATGTTTACATTTCTCATTTATTTCTTATATTGCAAACATTTGCACTGTTATCAGTATTTGCACTATTTTATATTATTTTTTAAAGTCATTATTCAATACATTGTTATTGTTAACCCTTTAAAGACGGTCAGAGCAGCACGCTCCGTTTTGTGTAACTATTTTTAAATCCCTGTAGAACCGGAACCGCGTAAGCTAGCGCAATATTTGTTTTGCATATGAAACCGGAGGAGTTGTACTTACATCTTATGCCATCAGCTTGTCCTCGGTCACAGTTTCCTTCCACATGAAGCTTTGCAAAAATCGCATAAAAAGCACTTGCAGGAACAAAAACATAATACTCCAGAAACACGCTTTGCCGATCCATCAGCTGTTCTTAACACTTCCCACATTGAAAAAGACGTCAACGCGAACTATCGCATTTCCTGCCCGAAACCGGAAGTGACGTCATTTTCGCAGAAAATGTAGTTTTTTACTTGTAGGCCTTAAAAGCCTATACTGGTGTTTTTATAAGTCATGTTTGACTCTATACTTTTCTGAATAGTTGCTGGGATGCTTAGAACTCGAATTGCACTGCTGGAAATAGTTTATTTTGATGCTGTTTTCTTTGCAAATTTGCATCATAGGATTGTTTTTTTGTTTTTCCTGCAGTGTATAAAAATTGCTGTATCTCCAAAATAAAACTATGAAGACACTCAAAATAAATTTCCTGTTGTTGTAAACTACTTTTTGCAACTTTTTTGTATTTAAAGTTTTGAGGGATAAGCCTCATAAATTTCTCCAAGTAGAAATATATGTAAAAAAACAAAAAACAAAAACGATTTTCAATTTTTTTTGTAGTTTATTGCACTTTTTTGCAATTAATGTAATTACTATGGACTTAATGCATACATATTATTAAAATATGGGCTATAACAGTTGTATAGCAACTTGAAATGCTCCCACAAATGGCACTACAACATGTAAAAAAATAATATAAGCTCTGGCGGACTTGGTTCTATGGTAGGTCTTAAAGGGTTAAATAAATATCGTCAAATAGGGCTGGGCCATATTATACCGTTCACGGTAATACCGGTATAATGTTAGGCAACGATAGGAAAATGAAATATCGCGATAGAATGGGAGTAAAACGCGCATGCGCAGTGCCTTTGTTTTCATACGCACATGGCCGATTGTTGAGGAACCAGAATTGGTTTGTAAAAATGGTGCAACTTCCATGATGTGGAACTGGTTTGGTGTTTGTCCGTCAGATACTCAACAAAGCACATTTTTTTGCAGAACATGCAAGCGGCCGTTGTTATTGTCGTATTTGTCGGACTAAGATGCTCTTAAATCTGGGAGTAATCTGGGTCCCAAACTCTGTATATTTGACTTCAGGTCAAACAACACTGCAGCATCACTGAGAGTTGAAAACTGTCTAAATGATTTCATCTTTAATAAAACGATCAGCATTGCTGCTTTACCAGGTGTAACTATAAAGTTTAACTTCCAGGCATCCATGAAAACAAAAGTTATTACATTTAACGGAGTTAGAAGTTAGCAGGAAGCTAGCGGAAGTAGCTCGCTAGTTTCGCTAGTTACCTAAGCATGATATAGCGCATGTTCTGACTGAGAGATTTCTGAAAAAATTCAAACGTACAGCTCTGCTATCACTTCCAACATAAATGAAGACAGGAAACTAAACAGTGGTGACGTTTGTAGGGTTACTGAAGTTGGGCTAGCTGGTATATAATGATGTGCTACGTGATCGCTAGCGACACAGCTATGTTAGCATAACATAACAGTGAAGCTGGAGGACGAACACTAACATTTTTCCACTTATAAAAGTTAACGTGAAGGTTCTTCATGGTTAGAGACAAATGCAATCGCATGGCAGGATGCTGTAAACGGACCAAACTTCAGTCAGGAGAACAACTGAGATAATCCATCCACAATACGAGGTTAGTCATTAATATACTGCAACAACATGGGAATAGATCAACTGCCAGAGAATTCAACATTAATGAATCAATGGTACAGAAGTGGAGGAAGCAAGAAGAATGAGTTTAATAAAGTTTGATTTATCTGACTGCTTTGTTTCGCTTAATGTGCCTTATAATCCTGTGCACCTTATGGTCCGAAAAATGCGTACTGCACACTGCAGTTTAATGTTGCAAAGCACCTCTTTTTAACTTCAGTGGATATTATACATGGTTATGCTCAGGATATGTCAGCCAATTTCTACTGGAAATGCCTTTGGGTTAAACTTTCAGCAAGGAATTTGCATTTGCACTGATAAATTTTTTATAAAGCTTTAGTGTACATAAAAACCAGCTTCTTGTTTACGTGAAAATAAATGGAAGGTTGTCTTTTTGCGCTAGTAATGTTGTGGAGTTGTATTTTGTCTCGCATCAATTATATCGTCAGTTATATCGTTATCGCAAATTTTCAAATATATATCGTGATAAATATTTTTGGCCATATCGCCCTGCTCTATCGTCAAATAATCGAGATCTCAATTTCAGTGAAAATAATCGTGATTATCATTTTTGCCATAATCGAGCAGCCCTATGATGAGCTCTGAAACCTGACTGAAACTCTTCAAATAAGCCATTCCTCTGCAGATGATCTGTTAGCTGTTTGACAACTACTCTTTCAAGGATGTTTGATATGAAAGGAAGGTTGGAGATTGGCCTATAATTAGCTAAGACTGCTGGGTCTAGAGATGCTTTTTGAGTAAAGGTTTAATTACAGCTAGCTTGAAGGCCTGTGGTACATAGCTGATTATTAGAGATAGGTTGATCATATTTAAGATTGAAGAATTAATTAATGGCAGGACTTCTTTGAGCAGTTTTGTAGGAATGGGGTCTAAAAGACACGTTGATGGTTTGGAGGAAGTAATTATTGAAGTTAACTCAGAAAGATCAATTAGAGAAAAAGAGTCTAACTTAACATCAATGGTACTAAGAGTAGCTGTAGATAATATTACATCTGTGGGATGATTACTGGTAATTTTTTCTCTAATGATAAAAATGTTATTTGTGAAGAAGTTCATGAAGTCATTACTAGTTAACGTTAAAGGGATGGTTGGCTCAACAGAGCTCTGACCGTTTGTCAGCCTGGCTACAGAGCTGAAGAGAAACCTGGGGTTGGTCTTATTTTCTTCAATCAGTGATGAATAGTAAGATGTTCTGGCTTTGCAAATTGTTTATGTTTAAGTTGTTTGTTGCTGGTTTTTAGTTTGTTTTTTGTCTGTTTGGGAGCTGACACAGTCTCTATGGAGATGGGTTTTTGGGGGGGTAGCAGGAGGAGAGAAGCTGCAGAGAGGCGTGTAAGACTGCAACTCTGCTTCCTGGTCCCAACTCTGGATAGTCATATTTTGGGGGGTTTAATAAATTTGTCCATATTTCTAGAAATGAGAGCTGCTCCATCCAAAGTGGGATGGATGCCGTCTCTCCTAACAAGACCAGGTTTCCTCCAGAAGGTTTGCCAATTATCTATGAAGCCCACATCGTTTCTGGGACACCACTCAGACAGCCAGCAATTTAAGGAGAACATGCGGCTAAACATGTCACTCCTGGTCTGATTGGGGAGGGGACCAGAGAAAACTACAGAGTCCCACATTGTTTTGCAAAATGCAATACCAGTCAGGGTAATGACCTCAGTGTGTTATCCAATCGGTCTGCCACATGTGATAACACCACTGTCTTTGTTAATCTATTAAACATTCAGACACTTATGAGCAACAACCATCTAATCCAGCATCTCCTCACCAACCGTAAGTTAGACTTTCCCAGCTTAACTGAGACATGGCAACAACCCCATGACTTCTCCCAACTCATTGATCCCACTTCTCTGAGGGTTGTTTACATCTGCGCAGCTTGTGGAACTGGGCAGGCAGGAGACATACCAGTAATGTTTGGCTAGAAGTGGAAGAATGTGGGCATGGGGAGATGGGAGTGGGTCAACTAAGCCTGTCAGAGGTTTCATGTGTCTGCCTGGGAGCAGGTCAGCAGTGACTTAGCGCACATACAACCCATCTGCACCAATTACATGTTGGCTAAAATAACACAAACACTTTATTTTCTTTTAGAAATGATTAAGCTACCTAACACTCGGAAAGGCAAGCCGTTTCCTTCATGTGGACTTGGACTGGACTCAGCTTTTTGTCAGACTTGGGAACCATGCAGTCTTTTGATGTCACATTTTCGGATTGCCTTGGATTGCTTGGAACCCAGCAGAGTAGGTACTAAAAAAGTACCTGGTAACATGTGCTGTGACCTAGTGGAAAACCCTAAAAACATCAAGCCGACCTGAGTAGGTACTAATGAAAAAGGGCTACAAATCTTGCAGGAGCAGGTTGGTTGCTGATGCTGAGGCAGGTGGCTAAAAATTGACAGGGGGTCCCAAGAATGCTAGCAGGATGGAGGGTACAACTGATGTTAGTAACAAAATTAAGGCTGGAGTGAACCAGTGGAAAAGTTTTAACATCGTTAAGAACCAAGAAGGTAAAGAGCTGGACTTGTGAGAAGTGTGGCAAAGTTCTTGTATTTCATAGTTTCACATCGCTGCTGTTCAGTGACATCTACCTGTGTGTTTTACACTGGCAGGATGAAAGCTTTCAAAGTACAGACTGCTGCATGCATTTGTGATCTGGATGGAAAAAGCACGAGTTAATAATAATAGGTTTAAATGAGCCGCCACTGGCAGCCAGATTGAAAAAATCGTCCTGCACAGGGCTCTAGTGCAGAATGGTCCAGCCAATGCCCCCAACCTCCTCCCCACTACCCCTCTGTTGAACTTCTGCCAAAGATCTTGCAGACTGAGACATTTCCAGCACACCCACACTATATGTTTGGGCAAGTCAGGCCTTTCCAACATCCTCCCTTTCAACAAAACCAAATAATTTCCTCCCATTTATGTAGTGGAAATGTCAACAAGCGCTGTGTGGCAGGCAGGAGTTGGACCCAAAATGCAGGCTCTCAGACTCGAGGGATGAACTCAAAATCACAGCTTTATTGGCTGGCAAGGAAGATGCATACAAAACAAAGCCACACTGGGAACTTTAAGTTCAAGAAAACACAGGGAGCGAGTAACACAGCAATGAGGGACGACGCGACACTGACTCAGAGAAACACAGGACTTAAATACACTGGGAAATAACGAGGGGAATGAGACACAGGAGGGGAGCACAGCTGGGAGAAATCAGACATAACCAGACGAAAGGGAAGCGAAACTCAATACATTCACGTAGGACACAGACCTTCAAAGTAAAACAGGAAATGTAACACAGACGCAGACTGACTAGGGGAGACAGAGCAACTAAGAAACACAGAGACCAACATAAAAGAGGCACAGAGGGCGGCTACTAAACACTCAGAAAACTAACCAGAATACAAGAAACCCAAACTAAGATACTAGACTATAGAACAAACTGAGGCAACAAAGACAACTTAGAACATGCAACATAACACAAAAACCCTGAGACACAAGAAACTCACAACACTGGGTCAGGAGCTCCAGGATCCTGACAGGAAATGTCCTAGAAAACTACCAAAGATAACACAATCTGGGAGGAATAAAATAACTTCAAAGCTGTTGTGACAGAATAAAGAACCCACGCACAGCACTGTAAATTGTCTTTATTTCCAGACTGTTGTTGTGGCAGCGGTCCAGCTGCCCTCCTCGTTCTTCATGCCACACACAGATCTCTCTTCTAGTCTCGGTCATTGTGTCCCCAAGACACTTCACCTACCGCCTACTGGTGATGGCCAGAAGGGCCGATGGTGCAATGTGGCAGCCTCGCTTCTGTCAGTCTGCCCCAGGGCAGCTGTGGCTACAACTGTAGCTGCCTCCGCCAGTGTGTGAATGGGTGGATGACTGGGTGTGTAAAGCGCTTTGGGATCCCTAGGGGGGACTAGTAAAAGTGCTATACAAATACAGGCCATTTACCATAGCTGTGGAGAGTCTTAAGGTCATATCGACACGCCCTGACAAAGGGGGATCATTCCCCGTACATATGGGAAACGGAGTGGTGAGATAGTCTGTGATAGAGAACTGGTGGCAGTAGATGGCTACCCCTCCTTGAGCCCATTTCTGCGGATGTTTGTTGTTGGAATGGAAATGTTCCTGTTCCTACTGTCACCAGCGCTTGCTCATAGTCAAATACGATGTCCATCTGAAACACGAATGTCCAGATACCAAGTACAAATGGAGCTTAAAGGATCGGTTACTGGATGCTTTTTTCCTTATTTTTCTCATGCAACATGTCAAAGAATTACATATGTATCAAGTAAGCAGTTGGTGTATGACGAAGATACTATAGGTGGCACAAATTGATCCATCCCTCCATTTCAGGGGCAGCAGTCTAAGCAGAAATGCCCAGAATCCCTGATCCCCACACACCGGAATATCTCCAACATGTCCTGGATCTACCCTGTGACAACAACATAGCTGCTTAGATAAACCTGAATAACAAATAGGGTCTGGCTGATAGACTGTGTAGCTGTGGTCATATATCACCATGTAGGTTAATGCATTCTTTCACTTTCCACAGATCTCTAGAATCCAGAGGCTAACCAGCCCAACGCCTTCATCTGATTTATCATCCAGACCTCCCGATTCTTCTGCTCCAGCAGGAAGAAAGACCATGGATGGAAGCAAAGAAGTAGTCAACCAACAGCTGTTACCTGAGCTGAAGCATTGAAACCTGCAGTTTAGGATCCTCGTGCCACTTTCTTAGACAAATGAAAAATCTGAGCTAGCTTGTAGTCAGAACGTGCCTGTAAATTTCTTTTCCCAGAGTGATGTCTTCCTGAGCATCCTGTTACATACGGCCAAATATTCTCTCTGGTGTGTAGCTTAATCAGAATCTAAACTGCACATTCTCAAGTGTTTTATAGTACACTGCATTTCTGATTAGAGTCCACATTCTGCAGTAGACCTCGGTAGCAGAAAAAACATTTCCCAGGATAGACCCAGATAGAAGGCTAAGTGTTGGCATTTGTGAATGGCTTGTTCCATTTTGTGAAATTGTTGACATTTTTTTGTATTTTATTTTTTGTCTCTATATTTATTGGCAAATTTCCCATGAATTAAAGTCAGTGTAAAATGAATATTCTTGCATTAGTATTCTTTTATACTGCGTAGTGCTCACACGCACAATCCTCCCATAACACAAGTTTGCAGTCTCACATAATTACACAATCTAGAGCCAGTTTCTTGGAATGCCGACAGACCTGATCATTTCTTCCCAGCGCTTGTTTCCATCCCTGCTAACCTCATTTCTTCAGGGCTGCCTTTACTACCCTTAATGATTTCATGGTACAGTAATTCTTTTTTTTTTTTTTTTGCCTGTCCCGTTTGGCTCTTTTGCATCAGAATTGTTGTCTAAAGGCAAAGAAAGATGCCCAACGGATTTACTTTACCAAACTGACCATCCCAGCCTTGCCGTAATGGTCCATTTGATTCACCTTTTATTGTTTATTTTATTTTCACTTACTGAATACGGGACAGACTTGACTGGGGGAAAGAAGGGGAGAAAGAAAGAGGGAAAGAGAAACAGCTGAGAAGAGGGACGGGGGAGAAGGGCAAAAGACAAAAACCAACAGAACGGGCAGAGAGAAAAAAATCCATCTATCGATCACCTGGATCACCTGCTGAGAAAGAAAAAAGAGAACAAGCAGAAGAGAACAAGAGTAACAGAATAAACAACATCACAATGATATATGGGAATATGACAGTAAATACTAAATGTTAAACATTATTGTGCAGCACATAAGATCAACAGCACACAGTGTGCTTTGAGGTAGGAGCCAAAAAGGGTGTAGTTTGTGGGTGTGATCACCCGTGTGTACACCTGTGAGCATGGACGCGCTTGTTTTTTTAAAAGGTTCCTTCATGTAATGATCTGCTAGAGGGTGTGGGGGGGCCACAGCCCCGTCCTCCAGGGCATGAAGCAGGTATGGAGGAGATCAAAACTCCAGACATCCAGAGGCCCCCAGAGCACAAGAGACCAAGGAAGACCAACAGAGGGGCAGCCGCGCCACTGTCCCAGAAAGAGCTGAGGAGAGTCCCAGATGAGGGCTCACTCAGCAGCCGCGGAGCAGAAGCCAGGGGGAGTTGCAGTGACGCGCCCGTGAGCTCCGCCGGCAGCCAGCTGTGCCTGAGTGACCGAGCCCCAGGCCGAGAGGCCGGGGGCACCCCACCTCCGAAGTGGCCCGAGCGAGCCCCAGGCTCCAGGCCCCGATAAGCGGCCGCCAAGGAGTGAGCCGGTGTGTACCCGGACGCCCATCCCCGGACACAAAGAACCACCAACGCACCGATGTCTGAGGGGGTCCGCCACTGGCAGGGGAAGTGGTGGTGGGGGGAGAAAGGCCTCCAAACCTTGGAGGGCCTGAGATGTCCCCAGAGAGGTGGTGCCTGACACCCAACCTGACATATAGACACAGACATGCAGGCACACACAGATACAAACATCCATTCCCACCCTCATGCTCTCATATGCACTTACTCCACACTCAACCAACGTGGAGACAGACATAAAGAGACGCTGTACACACGATCACACTCCCCAAGCGTACTCTACAAACCGGGTCCAGGTACCCTTGCCCCTGGAGGGGGGAACTGCACCCAGACCCAGGTGGTGTTACCCTTTTCCCTGCGGTGGGGAGAGGCAGACCGCCCCGACTCCGCAGCAGCAGGGAGGCCCCACACTCCAGACCGCAGTCGGACGGCCAACTCCTCCTCCTAGTCCTAGCAGTCCTAGCCCCCCCCCTGCTCCAGCAGGTCGCAGAGAACGGGGGTGAGAGAAGACTCCAAACCTCCCTCCACCCACTCATTGTAGTGTTGATGCATGTGTGTTCTAAGGTGCATTTAAAACCCAGGAGGGCTTGGAGCTACCTGCCAGAGAGCAGCAGGTAAGTGCATGGTCCCTCCTGCTAGCCCTCAATGTCTACGTGTATTTAAAATTGAGAGGTGGGCAACGGCGCCAGGGGTGGGATGGTACAGTAATTCAACTCAAGGATGGGAAAGCCATGCTGAAGCCAGTTTATATTTTGGACAGGACATGGGACATTTATTCAGAATGAAACAGTATAGGCGGGTAACTGGACTGGTATTTAAGAAGTGTTTTCTACTCAGTTTGAGCACTCGAAGCACATTCTGCTGTGAGGCTTATTCACCCAATCGCACACATTCACACAGTTTTTTAAATCTATACCTAAGTACTTTTATCTCTGATGGATGCACTGGGAGCAACAGTGCTTTGAGTATCTTGTCTAAGGATAGTTGATACTTCCACAGAAGGAGCTGGAGATTGTTCCACTGACCATCTGATTGGTAGATGAATTGCTCTGATACCTGATCCGTGGCCACCCTACATCCCGGGAAATGGAAGTGAGAAATTAATTTGTAAATAGTATGTAACAATAGAGGTGTGAACTGAAGTGGGAGAAATAGTTCATTTATGTAACCTGTCCATTAATCTAGTACTTTAATGTTACATATATTAATGCACGTGATGCAGGTGCAGTCCGTGTTCCAGTGGAGAAGATTGTATGTGTGAATGACAGCAAGTTCAAATTTCATGCTCTCGCTCTTTTAGAGCTCAGCAGATACCCATGTGTATGTGAGATAAACATCCAGCGGCTCATGGGTGTGTGTGTGTGTGTGTGTGTGTGTGTGTGTGTGTTGACCTCACATATTCACACTCACGGGGCCATTTTTGAGCCAGTGTCTTTGCAGTAGTGATTGGGGTCGCTGCTTATAACTCACGCTTTCTATTACCTGGCTTGCTCATTTCTCTGCTGATGGTTTCACTGCGACTGGCGGCTCGAAAAATGAAGGTAAATATAAGCAATGGCCAAATGAAGCTCTCTGAAGCATCGGCGCGTATAATTTGAAACAGGATTCATTACTCGAAGCTTTTCAACACAGTCCTCTTTTACAGCATCTGGTGGCCGAAGCACGAAGATCTCAAAGATCAAAGATCTCAAAACTGGATTATCAACACGTTCTCATTCCCAACTCGTCAAACGTGTGACGCATGGTCAGGCTCCCTCTGCTTCACTTATGGACGCGCAGGGTACCCCCCTCGCGTCGGGAATTGACGTGAAGGGTCCTCCGATTGAAGAGATTGCTGCGGAAGTGCCTGTTGTCGGTATATTTAGACATTTTCCAAATCACATTGTAGTGACGTATACAGAACACAATAAATTATATAATGTAAACAACTACCTGAAAAACAGGTAGAACGATGCTTTTGTATGGTTTATTGCATTTACGGAGGGAGTGGTGTATGCTGGGTAATGGCACAGCTAGCTACTGGGTTTATTCACCCGCTTCGGCTGTTATCAGTCCAAACAATGGGCGTTATTAGCACAAATCAGTCCCATAGATATGGGCCATCTCCTGCTAGATTGTTCAGAAGGTTGTTCTCATCCATCCAGATGGAGGATCACTAACAGGAGCGTGGAAGACTCCAGAATCCACTCTGGCTGGAATCCGGTGGATATACAGTGTTTACAGGTAAGACCATTTACACGGACAGCATTTATAGAATGACCATTAAAAGTCAGCGAGTGTCAGTAATGTTAATGTGGTTATGTTAGTAATACACCGAGTGCTAATATAACAGCTTTAAGATGCATTTGTAGATATTATTACGTGTTTTACCGTCTTTATGGTGCTAGCTTAAAGTTACGGTGTAAACGTTAGCTTATATTGGAGTAAAGCTGTTACTGGTTAAACGATGTTAGCACAGAAATATTAGCTTCTGTCATGACTGATGAAGTTACTAGTTAATAAAGTTTTCAGTAAAGTGTTTAATCGCAGCCACAGACTGACAGCAAATATCTCGATTAGCTTCAGTGCATCTGTAATAAATATGTGCAAGTTTCAGTGCTTCGTTTAAACTGTATTATACTTATACTGACCCAGGGTCAGTGTAAAATACAATCCTAGCTGTGTGAACAAAGCCTGGCTCCTTTAATCCTGCATGACAAACCTCAGGATGCAGGTTATTATTACTCTTTCCTGCTGGCACACCTGTCACACCTGAGAGTCAGCTAGAAACTTACAGTGACGTGGACATCATGCAAAGACTGCCAGACTCTGTAACACTGCAAATGATCAGTGACTCAAGTTATCACTAAACTTTAAACGGCACCTCTGTGTCTCTGTGTGCTGAACATCTAGGATTGAGTCAGGCTGCATTGACTGTGGGACTTCAATGTGTTAAAAGCAGGTTGAAGACGGCTCAGAAACATTTGAAGATTAAAATTTAGCATTATGGCTGCTGGTGGTTTGTAAAGCCTCTACTCAGCTGTATTTTTGTTACTAACTTATGTTTGTTGTTGTTTAACACAGATTTCAGAAGAGCAAATATGCTTAATAGTTTAACTAGATTTCATTTGTCAGTGTGGGACTGCTGAGTCACCGGAAGAACTCATTTCATTCATTCTCCACATGATGTTCATTTACAGAAATGTTTCACAGGAACTGATTTCTCCCAAAGGGTGAACTAGTGTGTTTCCATAGATTACCTCTGTATGAATGTACTTCTTAAATGAAGGCAAGTGTTTGTCCTTTTTTGTTCCTCAGGTACAGTACGTGATATCAAGGGCAGGCGGTCAACACTGGGGGTAGACAAGAAGCAGACGTACTTCCAAGAGGAAGCTGCAGTGAGGTCAGAGGTCAGAATCTGAAACAGCTCAGGTTTATATTTTAGAGGTTATAAAAAAATCAAAATGTATTTATAAAGAAACCTTTAAATAATAGTCATAATTATGATTATTATAAGAAATATCAAACATTTAAGTGTTAGCCCTGCGATAAACTGGCAGCCTGTCTTTGTCCTGTATCAGCTGGGATAGGCTTCATCCTCCCGCAACCCTGAATTGGATACATTGTATTCCAATTATGTAATCTGATCATTTACAAACTCAAGGTATCTAATCAAAATGTAAGTACAACATTAAAAAGTTTTTGCATCTCTGTGTGTGGAGTGAAGCTGTGGAACAGACTAAGTAAAGATATGAAGCAATGTCCAAGCATGGCGCAGTTTAAAAAGCGGTTTAAGGATATGGTTTTTACAGGGTACAGGGAAAAGGTAGAGATTTGATAGGGTGTTCTTGTCTAATATTTTCATGTGTGTGCGCATGCACGGGTTTGTTGGTATGGGTATATATGTATGTGTATATGTATGTATGTATGTATGTATATATATATATGTGTATATGTATATATGTATTTGTATATATATGTATATATATATGTATATATATATATGTGTATGTGTGTGTGTGTATGTATGTATGTATGTATGTATGTATATATATATATATATATATATATATATATATATATAAAAACACCCAGCACGCCCCTGCGGGCGGTTTATCCTTCAAGCTCGGGTCCTCTACCAGAGGCCTGGGAGCTTGAGGGTCCTGCAGTATCTTAGCTGTTCCCAGGACTGCGCTCTTCTGGACAGAGATTTCCGATGTTGTTCCCGGGATCTGCTGGAGCCACTCGCCTAGCTTGGGAGTCACCGCACCTAGTGCTCCGATTACCACGGGGACCACCATTACCTTCACCCTCCACATCCTCTCGAGCTCTTCTCTGAGCCCTTGGTATTTCTCCAGCTTCTCGTGTTCCTTCTTCCTGATATTGCTGTCATTCGGAACCGCTACATCGATCACTACGGCCGTCTTCTTCTGTTTGTCTACCACCACTATGTCCGGTTGGTTAGCCACCACCATTTTGTCCGTCTGTATCTGGAAGTCCCACAGGATCTTAGCTCGGTCATTCTCCACCACCCTTGGGGGCATCTCCCATTTTGACCTCGGGACTTCCAGGTTATACTCGGCACAGATGTTCCTGTACACTATGCCGGCCACTTGGTTATGGCGTTCCATGTATGCCTTGCCTGCTAGCATCTTGCACCCTGCTGTTATGTGCTGGATTGTCTCTGGGGCATCTTTACACAGCCTGCACCTGGGGTCTTGCCTGGTGTGATAGACCCCAGCCTCTATGGATCTTGTGCTCAGAGCTTGTTCTTGTGCTGCCATGATTAGTGCCTCTGTGCTGTCTTTCAGTCCAGCTTTGTCCAGCCACTGGTAGGATTTCTGGATATCAGCCACCTCCTCTATCTGCCGGTGGTACATACCGTGCAGGGGCCTGTCCTTCCATGATGGTTCCTCGTCTCCCTCCTCTTTCTTGGGTTTCTGCTGCCTGAGGTATTCACTGAGCACTCGGTCAGTTGGGGCCATCTTCCCAATGTATTCTTGGATGTTCCTTGTCTCATCCTGGACTGTGGTGCTGACACTCACCAGTCCCCGGCCCCCTTCCTTCCGCTTATCGTACAGCCTCAGGGTGCTGGACTTGGGGTGAAACCCTCCATGCATGGTAAGGAGCTTTCTTGTCTTTATGTCAGTGGTTTCTATCTCCTCCTTTGGCCAGCCTATTACCCCAGCAGGGTATCTGATCACGGGCAGGGCGTACGTGTTGATGGCCCGGATCTTGTTCTTACCATTCAGCTGACTCCTCAGGACTTGCCTGACCCTCTGCAGGTACTTGGTGGTTGCAGCCTTTCTAGTGGCCTCTTCATGGTTCCCATTCGCCTGCGGGATCCCCAGGTACTTGTAACTGTCCTCTATGTCTGCAATGTTGCCTTCTGGTAGTTCAATCCCCTCAGTTCTGACTACCTTCCCTCTCTTTGTTACCATCCGACTACACTTCTCCAGTCCGAACGACATTCCAATGTCATTGCTGTATAGCCTGGTAGTGTGGATCAGTGAATCGATGTCTCGTTCACTCTTGGCATACAGCTTGATGTCATCCATGTACAGGAGGTGGCTGACAACTGCTCCGTTCCGTAGTCGGTATCCGTAGCCAGTCTTGTTAATGATCTCACTGAGGGGGTTCAGGCCTATGCAGAACAGCAGTGGGGACAGAGCATCTCCTTGGTAGATCCCGCACTTGATGGTAACTTGTGCTATGGGCTTGGAGTTGGCCTCTAGTGTTGTACGCCACATCCCCATTGAGTTCCTGATGAAGGCTCTTAGGGTCCCATTGATCTTGTACAATTCTAGGCATTCCAGTATCCAGCTGTGGGGCATTGAGTCATAGGCCTTCTTGTAATCAATCCAGGCAGTGCACAGGTTGGTCAGTCTGGTCTTGCAGTCTCGGCTGATTGTTCTGTCTACCAGTAGCTGGTGTTTTGCACCTCTGGTATTCTTGCCAATTCCTTTCTGTGTCCCGCTCATGTATTGACCCATGTGCCTGTTCATCTTAGCCGATATGATACCTGACAGGAGCTTCCATGTAGTACTGAGGCAGGTTATTGGTCGGTAGTTGGAGGGGACCGGTCCCTTCTTGGGGTCCAGGACCGTCCGGCCTTCAGTTAGCCATTCCGGGTGTCTCTCGTTAACTAGCAGCTGGTTCATTTGTGCTGCCAGACGCTCGTGGAGTGCAGTCAGCTTCTTCAGCCAGTAGGTGTGAACCATGTCGGGCCCTGGTGCTGTCCAACTCTTCATACTGGAGACCCTTTCTTGGATATCTGCCACTGTGATGGTTACTGGACCCTGTTCGGGGAGGTCGCTGTGGTCTGCCCTCAGATCCTCTAGCCACTGAGCATTGCCGTTATGGGTTGCATCCTTCTCCCATATGCTCTTCCAGTATTGTTCTGTCTCCAGCCTTGGTGGTGCTGTTCTCTTATTGTTCCCTTGCCACTGAGAGTACACCTTTGCTGGTTCTGTGGAGAACAGCTGGTTTATTCTCCTGCCTTCTATCTCTCTGGTGTACCTCCTCAAGCGGCTGGCCAAGGCTGTGAGTCTTTGCTTGGCAGTTTCCGAGGCCTCAGGTATGGACAGCTTGCTGTATTTCTTAGGCACCTTATTTGTCGCACCTTTCTGCAACTCCGTTAGTTGGCTAACCTCCCTCCGTGCTACTTTGATCTTGCCCTCTAGCCTCCTTCTCCATGGAGGGTACTGCCCCTTGTGGCTGTTCAACTTGTAGCCAAGCATCTCACTGATCACTGCTGCCGTATTGTAGATCAGCTTGTTAGTGTCGGTAACCGTGGTTGTAGGTATTGTCCGTAGTGCTGCATTAACATCATCTAGCAGACCTTCTGAGGGTACTTCACGTAATCTTGGTAACCGGCTACGGGGGATCCAGGTTTCAAGCTTGGCCATGATCCTATTTTTCAGGTCAGTTCCTCTCGCACTCAACGATCCTTCTCCTATCGCACTTGGGGCTATGTACCCAATCTCGGGTGGGGGTGATGATATCTCCCCCCTGACCTGGCGTCCTGACTCCTCCTTGCCGTAGCATTTGTGTTGTACCTCGTCAATCTCTAGCTGTGAGAGCAGTCCCTTCTTTCGAATGTTGGAACAGTGAGCTACTAGTTGTTTCGCTGTCATTGTGGATGTTGGGTATCGAAGAATCCATAGGTCCCTCATCCTATTCATGTAGCCCCTTCCGCCGGGGTTACTTGCGTAGTAGCATTCCAACAACGCCCTGTTTTCGTCCCTTGCCCACCGATGCCTTCTTGTTCCAGTAGCCCACTTTTCGTCAGGGTGCCCTGGTTCCTCAACACCTGACGCGGACCTTGTTGATCCGGGCGACGTCCGAGCCGGCATGCCTTCATATTTATCTGTCTCGCTCATGTCTGCGGTAGGCTTGCTTAGCATAGGGGGTCTAGCCTTAGGACCCTTACTGGATACAGACGCCCCAGGCAGGAATCGAACTTGCGATCCTCTGTTCCAAAGGCGTGTAGTTTAACCACTACGCTATCCAGCTGCTGTATGTATGTATGTATGTATGTATGTATGTATGTATGTATGTATGTATGTATGTATGTATGTATGTATGTATGTATGTATGTATGTATGTATGTATGTATGTATGTATGTATGTATGTATGTATGTATGTATGTTAAATATATATAAAATTGTAGGTTGTGTATCCTTCAGGTGTTAATAGGGTTATTGAAAATGTGTATATGTGTGTATATACGTATGTATGGATAGATAGAAACATATATGTGTATATATTTAAAAAAAAAAAAAAAAAAAAAAATTACACATAACATATAATGTAATTACAAGGAGGTATTTCTGTAGTCTATTGATACTAGATAGTGGAAAAGGGGTGGGATTAAATAAGCTTATACTTCTTCCTGCTCCTTTTTGAACATGGACGTTATTTGGAGTTGTGGTTGCTCGTTTTCCTTTTGTTTGCTTTGTTCATTTGTCTCTTTTAATTCTATTTTTTTTTTTTTTATACTTTTTCAACATGTTCAAAATAAAGATTCAATCAATCAAAAAGCAGAAATAAGTGTGACATGAATGTAAATGTGTGAGCTGACATAGAGGACAGCTACATGTAGTCTGAAAAACCTTTGTTGTCAAGTTTGCAGGTCTATCAGCACGAGACATTCTTACATAGAAGAGTCTGTTGAAGTCTCTAACTCAGTGAAGCATTATTGGTCCCGTCTGTTTGGATAAATATAGTAAGTTGATGTTTGTCCATTTATTGACACATTTTCTTAAGTGCTTATCCAGTTCAGGATCACAGTGGAGCTGCAGCTGGATATGTTCACTAAATAAACCTTACAAAAGTTAACAATAAACCTGCATCCATGTACGTTGTTGTCCACAGGATGAGAAAATCAAAGTGGAAGACTGTGGAACATGTTAATAAATGTTTGTGTGTTTATGCCTGTGTCTTTCACAGGAGGCGCTGGAAGGTTTCCCTAATAGTTCCTGGTGAATCAAAGCAGAACCATAAAGGTTGCTGGACTGCATGATGGCCTTACCCCTGAGCCGTCATCCTGTTAAAGGAGGAACCAGTTAGAAGCTGTTTTCAAAGTAGCTGAGCAGATTTCATCTCAAGTAAGCAATTAACTGTTTGTTCATCTGTTCTGCCACTTAAAGAGCATTTAAGGACGTCTTTCGAGTGTCCAGTTGAATTAATTCTACTGGCTCTCATGGTCATTTGTTATTATAGACATATTTTTCATGTTCATCCAGCTATTTAGTAAATTCTATCTATTTAGTAATATCCGTCAGCTATAAAATGTAATATAAATATAAAAATATCTAAATATCTCCTGCCCTTTATGTTTTAATGATGTAAGTCTGTTATCGTGTTACATTAGCATTCCTCACATATCAATGAGATGCTGTACAGTACAATCCTACTGACACAGCAGAGGGATAACGACGGCTATTCAACATCGTTACACGACACATTCGAGCTGCATGACGCAGACAAAGTGACTAAATTATCTTTTTGTGGTTTATTGTCTTCAAACCAGCAGACAAAGCTGATGGCAGAAGATGTCAGAGAAGAACTTCAGGCTGTGGACTGAAAAGGTATTTTTGTCTTGTTATCAAAAGACATTTGGAGTGGCAGCTTCTACAACTGGTTGTGCTAAAGTAAAGCTTACAGTCTAAGAAACCACAGTGTTGATATTCAGCACAAAGAGAAAAGCTCACTTGTTTGAATTTATTTACAATCATAGTTTTATAAATTCTGACTGTAAACAGCTTTTACAGCTTTGATATTGTTTGACACTCGATATCAGGTTTAATTTAAAGGTTTCTGTGTACCAATGAGCCATTTACACTGACCAGTGTCAGTTTAACTGTAACACATTCATTATTTAGATTCAACAGAGAAATAACTGAATGTAAAAATGGCAGCCCTCAGGCAGGTTTATAGAGATACATGCATGCATTATGAAATCTATGTATCCCAGATAATTGTTATTCATCTAGTCATGGCAGACCTACATCTTCCTCCCCAGTTAACTGCAACCCAAAAGAACTAGTGGGGCTATTTACACACTCACAACCAGTGTGGGGTAAAAAGAGCCACCAAAAAGCTGTCAGCCACAGATGTGCTAGAAGAGTTAGAAACTCTACTTATGGAGAAACTTTATAATTCTAACAGAGGACAGGAACTCCTGCCCAAATAACATGATATAACCCCACATACAGCCCAGCCATAAAGTGAACCAAGTCATTTAGTTAAAGACAGCATGGGACCAAATGCATGTAACCAGCCTGCACCAACCTGACATTTCTTCCTCCTGAATTAAATGAATGAATGGATGAAAGTTAAATGACTACAAACCTAAAGCCACTAGTTCCCACACTGGAGCTCCCTGACACTGTGTGTTAACTGTATTTAGCTTGTATCAACAGTTGTAACAGGCTAAGCCACCTGAGACACTGCATTGAATTTGTTCCTGTCTTAATGATTTCAGCTCAGATGTTCTGCTTTTTCCTTTCAGTAGATCAAAGCAGCTCGTGCTCCTTCTGCTTCCAATTTAGAAGAAGAAGAAGAAGGCGAAGGCTTCAGCAAAGTGGCGTTCATGGTCTCAGTGAACAGTCACGGTCACACACTGCATGTGGTTTTAAAAGCAACATGTCTGTTCAGTACAACGATCGAGATGTGTAATATTAGTGCAGCTACGGTTTGTTCTTGAACATCACTTCTGTTTTCTACTTTGATCACTTAGACCAAAAAAGTGTTGTTTTCAGATTCTTTCTTTTACATCTATAAAGCACCTGCTCATTTTTTTATTACAATTAGTTTCACATGAATGTTAGTGTTTCCTTTTATGATCTTTTAATGCTTACACTACACTGTACATGTCTACATTAGAGACATTTCTGTTTCCTGTTTCTGTTGACTCAGAGTTGTAAAATGTTCTTTTATTTGATGCACAATGTGAAGTTCATAATTTTCTTACAAATAAAACTAATGACAAACATGAACAGCTGTGCTTATTTCTGAGACATGAGTTTTTGAATGTGTGCATCTGTCTGCTGAAACTGTGATGGTGAACCTGAGGTGATGGTCAACAGAAGGCAAATATATATCAATATAAAACAATATTGAAGTAATGTCTTTACCCTCTGCAGCGTGTGGACGCTGTGCACGCAATCACCTTATTCACTGTAGTAAACATGCACCGCTAGCTCACGTGACTGACTGTCTCCATGGTTACATCGTATATTATTAGCTATGTAAACAGCTTCCAAAGATGCCGCCATAGCTCTCTGCAGCTGTAACACTTTCACACTTTGCAAATCATTTCACGTGTTTGATAGTTATGAAGACAGAATATGTTTCTAAGGTCATGCTAGGCGGTTGCTATGGTGGTTGCTGTGGACTTGGCTGGACCGCGTCCGATTCCTGTTATTAGCTGTCCGCCGTAGGAAGGCTGCGTTCCATTTACAAGTAGTGACCGTCTGCCGCAACTCGAACTCAAACCCCGCTTTGTTCTTTAATTATAGGCCTTTTATAGCCGTTCATGACACGCACACACACACATAAAGCACTTTGCCTCACCATGAGAATGCAACTTTACCTAACCTAACCTTAAAGTGTCTGATATAGGATAGAAAAATGAAGCAACCAGAGATTTAATGATGAAGACTCTGGGTTCTGTAGTTCACGTTTTACAGTCCTGAATGACTCTTTGGTTCAGTTATAGTAGATATAAGCATACTTCACATTACTGGGTATGAATAATAATCAAGAGACAAACTTTGAAGATGCAGAGCATGATGTCCCATCATCAGACTGTAAACAAACATCCACCAGGCTTCTTTGTTGCCAAAATTGATGATTCTCCCATCAGGGATCAGTAGAGTGTATTAACCTGTGGTATAAGCAGCAGTCACTGAAATATTACTCTTTCAGATAAGAAATCTAGCACATAAAAGCCAGGGTGGGAGGGATCTCTGCAAACTGACTTACCTCTGCAAGTGTGAAGCTCAACAAAAATCTGACTCTCCAGTCACTGACAAACAAAAACTCCAGCTGGGAGATAGAAAACGCTGTCTGGGTCTTGCTGGATGTTGCTGGTCAGAGTCCACACATTAGCAGAGTGCTTCTTGGTCCCACTGACCCATGTGGACAGCGACTGTGGAGAACTGTTCTGGAAAACAGAGAAGAGAATTAAAATAACAAAAAACCAAACAGGATTTCCACAAAGACTCTCTTGGAATCAGCAATCAAAAAAAATCACTGGTTCATATTAAATATGAACAGGTTCCTTAAATGTACACAGTTCAGATCTGTTTTAATTTAATTTCCTTCACACAGCACATTCGTCCAGGCTGACAGGTAAACATAGAATTAATCTCAGGTAACATGACTCATAGTAGAGATTCAGTAAGAAAGATTGCAGGCTCTAATATTATTACCACACAATCCAAGGACACACCAACAGCTCAGATTTGTAGAACTATTTAAACAAATGTCTTCTGAATATTCAATTCATGTTCACAGTGGGAGGGGGGGGGGGGGGGGGGGGGTGTCGTGGAATTTTTTTAATAAAGTCTGCAACACAGAAAGAGCTGTGATCAAGCTATTTATTACTGCGCCAACACACATCAAACATCACGGTTCAGTCATGTCAGCGCTGCCACAGAGGTCGTGCTCCTCCTCCTTTATGCATTCCAAGGAAGAGGGAGGAAGTTACAAACTGATCCTACCACACTTCACGTGTCTCGCTATGAAACCTAACGGATCAATGGTAAAACACGTAATAATATCTACAAATGCATCTTAAAGCTGTTATATTAGCACTCTGTGTATTACTAACATAACCACATTAACATTACTGACACTCGCTGACTTTTAATGGTCATTCTATAAATGCTGTCCGTTTAAATGGTCTTACCTGTACACACTGCATATCCACCGGATTCCAGCCAGAGTGGATTCTGGAGTCTTCCACGCTCCTGTTAGTGATCCTCCATCTGGATGGATGAGAACAACCTTCTGAACAATCTAGCAGGAGATGGCCCATATCTATGGGACTGATTTGTGCTAATAACGCCCATTGTATGGACTGATAACAGCCGAAGCGGGTGAATAAAGTCACCCAGTAGCTAGCTGTGCCATTACCCAGCATACATCACTCCCTCCGTAAATGCAATAAATGATACAAAAGCATCGTTCTACCTGTTTTTCAGGTAGTTGTTTACATTATATAATTTATTGTGTTCTGTATACGTCACTACAATGTGATTTGGAAAATGTCTAAATATACCGACAACAGGCACTTCCGCAGCAATCTCTTCAATCGGAGGACCCTTCACGTCAATTCCCGACGCGAGGGGGGTACCCTGCGCGTCCATAAGTGAAGCAGAGGGAGCCTGACCATGCGTCACACGTTTGACGAGTTGGGAATGAGAACGTGTTGGGATTATAGATGGCAGACAGTTGGTGTCATAAACCACCGCCTCTGTTCAAAGATGGTCGCTCACAGTGGACATAGATGCTTCTTTCACTCCTCTTTCAAACCATCTGTCCTCTCTGTCCAACATTAACTCTGTGGATAAAAACATCAAGTTCACCAGGGAAGACACAAAGGACGACTGTTTGCCTTTCCTGGACTGCGCTGTACACATTGAAGAGAACGGCAACCTCAACATCGAAGTTTACCGGAAGCCCACACACACGGACCAGTACCTCCTCTTTGACTCCCATCACCCTCTGGAACACAAACTTGGAGTAATCAGGACCCTACACCACCGGGCAGAACATGTTCCCTCTAAGCCTGAAGGGAAAAAGAAGGAACACACATGTAAAGGAAGCACTCAAAACCTGCAGCTATCCTAAATGGGTGTTCTTAAAGTCAGCAAAGAGGCACAGAAAAGAAGACCAGACACCAGCGAGGGAGGATAAGAAGGACAGACGCAACAACATTGTCATCCCCTATGTAGCCGGTGTATCAGAGAAACTCAGGAGAGTTTTCTCCAAGCATGACATCCCAGTGTATTTCAGACCCAGCAACACGCTCAGACAAAAACTGGTTCATCCCAAAGACAAAACTCCAAAACACAAACTTAACAATGTGGTGTATGCTGTACAGTGCAGCGAGGAATGCTCAGACCTCTACATTGGAGAGACCAAACAACCACTTCACAAGCGCATGGCACAACACAGAAGAGCCACCTCCACAGGACAAGACTCAGCAGTCCATCTGCATCTTAAGGATAAAGGTCACTCTTTGAGGATGCCAATGTTCACATTTTGGACAGAGAGGACAGATGGTTTGAAAGAGGAGTGAAAGAAGCCATCTATGTCCACTGTGAGCGACCATCTTTGAACAGAGGCGGGGTTTACGACACCAACTCTCTGCCATCTATAATCCAGTTTTGAGATCCCTTCCCAGACGCCTTAACGCCCACTCACATCCTGGGCCATCTGACCTCAGGAATTCACATGATAAGGTGGGGCCAGGTTTCACAATGAACACACCCGAAACTCTGGCTGATGGGGACCCACGCCCAGTTTCACACCTTGGCTCAGGCGATTAGAGGATCATCAGGGGTCCTTTTGTCCCTCTGTGGGGGGTCACTCCCACTAGGTTTATATCTGGGACTCTCCACCATTTGACCTTAGAACTGAAGAAGCTTCTCGGATGAGAGGTGAAACGTCTTCAAGCAACTTAAAGAAGTCCAGACGCTTTTCTTTGCAAGCTCCTTTGACCATTCTTCATATTATTCTCAAAAGGTGTAAGACGCTCAGAGTACTGCACACATGTGAACAACACTTCATTAAGAATCATTCAGATTGCTTTTCAACCTGAATATCTAAACCAAACTCAGAAATAGATAGTCACTGCTGAAAATGTCTACAGTGGAAACATTAAACACATTTGAAATGAGCACATTAAATACCATCGTTTTGGTTTCAACACATAAATATTTGACTTTGCTATTTTCTTTTTGTGTACATCAGCTGTGTTATCAAAAACCTGAATATCATTTATAGACTGTGACTGCTATAACAAACAGTCTGTGGGTGAGAAGAGTGCTCTCAGTACTTCATCCATCTATTGTCTTCCACTTTCCTTCTACAGGGTGGACCATTTATATGGATACACCGTAATAACATGGGAATGGTTGGTGATATTAAAGTCCTGTTTGTGGCACATTAGTATATGTGAGGGGGCAAACTCCTCAAGATGGGTGGCGACCATGGTGGCCATTTAGAAGTCGGCCATCTTGGATACAACTTTTGTTTTTTCAATAGGAAGAGGGCCATGTGACACATCAAACTTATTGGTAATGTCACAAGAACAACAATGGTGTGCTTGGTTTCAACGTAACTTTATTCTTTCATGAGTTATTTACAAGTTTCTGGCCACTTATAAAATGTGTGCAATGTGCTGCCCATTGTGTTGGATTGTCAATGCAACCCTCTTCTCCCACTCTTCACACACTGATAGCAACACCGCAGGAGAAATGCCAGCACAGGCATCCAGTATCCGTAGTTTCAGGTGCTGCACATCTTGTATCTTCACACCATAGACAATTGCCTTCAGATGACCCCAAAGATAAAAGTCTAAGGGGGTCAGAGCGGGAGACCTTGGGGGCCATTCAACTGGCCCACGACGACCAATCCACTTTCAGGGAAACTGTTCATCTAGGAATGCTCGGACCTGGTACCCATAATGTTTCCAGCAAGATTGTGCAAAAACTCAGGGAACGTGCCAGCTTCAGTGCAGCAAGGGTTTTGTTTGTCAACTAGCAGCTGGTTCATTTGTGCTGCCAGGTGCTCGTGGAGTGCAGTCAGCTTCTTCAGCCAGTAGGCGTGAACCATGTCAGGGCCTGGTGCTGTCCAACTCTTCATACTGGAGATATCTGCCACTGTGATGGTTACTGGACCCTGTTCGGGGAGGTCGCTGTGGTCTGCCCTCAGATCCTCTAGCCACTGAGCATTGCCTTTATGGGTTGCGTCCTTCTCCCATATGCTCTTCCAGTATTGTTCTGCCCGCAGCCTTGGTGTTCTCATATTGTTCCCCTGCCACTGAGAGTACACCTTGGCTGGTTCTTGCCTTCTATCTCTCTGGTGTACCTCTTCAAGCGGCTGGCCAAGGCTGTGAGTCGTTGCTTGGACAGCTTCCTGTACTTCTTAGGCACCTTCCTCATCGCGCCTTTCTGCAACTCCGATAGTTGGCTTCGTGCTACCTTGATCTTAGCCTCTAGCCTCCTTCTCCATGGAGGGTACTGCCCCTTGTGGCTGTTCAACTTGTAGCCAAGCATCTCAATGATCACTGCTGCCATATTGTAGATCAGCTTGTTAGTGTCGGTAATCGTGGTTGTAGGTATCGTCCGTAGTGCTGCATTAACATCATCTAGCAGACCTTCTGAGGGTACTTCACGTAATCTTGGTAACCGGCTACGGGGGGTCCAGGTTTCAAGCTTGGCCATGATCCTATCTTTCAGGTCAGTTCCTCGACGTCCCAGGGCTAGCGATTTTTCCAGTCGGGCTACCAAAATCTATCTCTTCCCTGCCTGTCGGCCTATCGTAGGAAGGAAAAATATATGTCAATGCTTTTGCATTCTTTCAGAAATGTAGCTGGGTAATTATGTCATTGGCATCGGTGAGCCACTGTCAATATGTGACATATTGAAGTCGCGTTTGAATTTGCGCTTGTTTTTTGCTTTCACTTTGCAATCGCGCGAACTGTGTATAGAGAGCGACAGCACTGATTGGTGAGTGATGATAATTTGTGCACCAATTCCTCTGACATTGTCTTATCAATCGTTAGCTTACTATGCAAACATGACAAGTGAAATCTCCCGCAGCTTAAACATGTGAGAGGTTGATCGCAGAGAATCGCTGAGCTTATGTGAGTGCGTGTGTAAAAGCAGCAGGATATATATTTTAGTTCTGCTGAGCCAAATAAGACAGGTCAGGGTGAAGAAGTGACAGCCAAAGAAAAGCTTACCACAAAACGGAGAAGTTATGACAAATCAGACTATAAGGCAAAAAAAAAGTGCAGCTTTATTGTTTCATGGACAAAAGAATTTCTGTGGCTGCAATATGACGAGCTAAATAACCAGGGCTGCACATAAGTGGTCCGCAGGTGCGCATTCGCTGTCAAAATAAAAAACGTGCACAAGATAAGAAGTTGCAACGCGTGTTTGCGTACATAAGATTTTCAGGAGGAGGACAGACATTTGTTTAGAACTCTTAAAGATGTCGAAGAAGCTCCTTTAAGCAATTACTGTGATGTTCCTCCACCTCCAAAGAAATGTCAGGAGTCCGAACCACAAAAGAAGCGCGTATACTCGGAAAAGTGGTTGCAGGAGGTGAGCTGGCTTCAAACAAATGATGAACGCACAGAGATGTGGTGCAGAATGTGCCGTGAAAATTTAATAAATGACAAATTAAAAAGGCATGAACATTTTTTTTGTATCGAAAAAATATCGAACGGTGACACCAAAGTATCGAACCGAACCTGTATCGTTGCACCCCTAATATATATATATATATATATATATATATATATATATATATATATATATATATATATATATATATATATATGTATATATATACTTTATATACATAAAGTTGTGTTTTCAAAATGGGAGTTCAGGTTATTTTTACTTCTAATAGTGTTAACATACTACACAGGTGACCACAGTGCACATGTCTGCTGTCGGTCACAGTGGTCCAAGGGACGCTCAGGGAGTTAGTGTGTTCGCTCACACACGTGAAAAATTAGAGCGAACATTGGTGATGACATCGTTCTTACAGCATCAACACAGTAATTTAAATCACACTTATGACAAAGGAGATCCTTGAACACAAATTAGCCTGATATGAAAATGTTTGTGTGCTGGTTTGATTCCAGTCTCATGGAGAGGGCGGGGCTTATGTCCTATACTGCAGCCGGACATAAGGGGGCGATAGAGACGCTTGTCTTTTGTCAGATGTTTTGTCAACCGTCGAAGAAGAAGAAGAAGAGCGGAAGCCAGGGAGCGGAATTCAAAAGAGAAGGTGAGTTCTGTCCGTTATAAAGTTAAAACTGCGGGAGGCTGAGCAGCACAGATCTCCTCGGTGTGCCTTAAAGCAGGTAACACAAACGGCACAGTGACGCTGGGTTGGTGTTAGTGGGTAGCACGTTAGCGAGTCCGTGAAATAAACCAAACAATACAAACAACCAGTCTCACGTTGCATTGGCGCAGCTGCAGAGCGGGGAGAAGGCGGTAACCGGTGACACCTCGGCTGTGTCCCAATCCAGCGACCGCACGCTTCGAAGTACGCGCACTTCGCGGACTACGTACGCCGGGTACTAGCAAGTACGAGAAGTGCGGAAGTGAGAGGCTTGTGAAATGGGACGGTTCGCGCTGCTCAGGTTGCCTAGCAACCATGATACTAACCGCACTAAACGTTTCATACAGCTGTAAAACATGATTGTTGGGCTACATTTCTGTACTGAACAGTCATTTCAAGATCAGTTAGTAAATAACAATTAGCTGATGTTGTTCATGAGACTAAAGTCATCTCACTGTGGTGATGTAAATATAATATGGCCAATATTAAAGTTACTATATTAATCATTATTAGTTATTACAGCAGTGAGTTTGAACTCTGTGTCAAATACTGAGCCTCAGTAAAGATTTAATTTATCATTTATATTTCCTATCACCTTAAATCTTCACTTAAAGACAAGTATCTGTGACAGTGTGTATACAGATGTATCATATATAAGAGACAAATATTGTTCATTTAATATGTTGTCATTACTAAATGTGGCTCAGTGCTTACATATATGTGTAAAAAGCAAATGTAGGAGCTGTGATAACTGTGTCTGATAGAATGAAGAGCAGACTGATATATGAAATATTCCTTTATTGGGTGAGAAAATCAGACCATGTCATAACTGCTGTAAGTCACACAGAATAGATATCAGAGCCTTAAACAGGCTGACGTCTGCTAAATGGGTCAAACTGGGCAGGAAGTCTACAAACACATAACATCCTTATAGAATATGATGTAACACTATAGATCAACTTAGCTCAGAATATATAAAGCATATAAACAGTTACAGCAATATGATGCAACAAACACAGCAGCTACTGATCCAAAATACTCAAAGCTTCATAGAACTGGAACCAACATTTATTTTAGCTCCATTCTGCTGCTGATACAGACTTTAGGTTTCTGGATATTTGCTTTAGGTTTCTCAGCTACGCTGAGGTCAGACTCATTTCCGGTGTCGGTGGAAACTGAAGGGGTCAAAGGTCTCCGTCCTTTGTAAAACAGGTGTTTGGCAGTAAGGAATATTATTAATGCATCAGTGTCATGAAACACCTCGTTTTTAAAGGCAACGCTGTCAGTTATACAGTAATATAAATGGCACCATGTTTACGGGATCACTTAAAGACGGAGTTTGGTCCATGAGGGAAACACTCTCAGTGATCCAGGTAAGGATGCAGCGCTATGCCCCGCCCACTCTGTACTATTGGAGGGTCTACCTTACAATATAAAGCAGCTTGAGGTGACTGGTGTTTTGATTTGGCGCTGTGTGAATAAAATAGAATTGAACTGTTTCTAATTGCACAGAAATAGTCAGTTCACTTTGGACATGCTATTTTCAAACAGGAAGCTCAGAAAAAGCCCAGCAGCTAAACAGGTAGCCCCTTAAAACTGATGGGAGTGCTGGGTTTTAGGTCAAACTACTGGAACTCTTGAACCATTGGTGCAACGAAAAATTCCAATGGTTCCTGAACACATCAACTCTGTACTTTTTCAGTGATATTAGGGTCATTGCAGTGATCCCAGGCAGGGCGCCACATTCAAATCCTGACAATGAACACAGAAAACAACCCAACAATCAAAACCAAGGGAAAAAGAAGCCTCATGCAGGATGAAATGTCTGTAGAGCTGCATCACACTCACGATTTGTTGTCGCAAACAACTGACGACCCTATCATCACTGCAAAGCGCTGCTTTCAGTAACTGTTGGAATTCTGTCAAATGAGCCAACGGTTCAGGAGTTACGGGACTTAAAGATGTTGAAAATAAAAACCTCTGTGAAACACGTGACGCCAGCGACAGGTCAGGTTTCCGAGGGTTAGAGTGGGAACGTAGGATCCAGCTGCCACTCAGTGGTTCCTTCTTGTTTGGCCAGCTGCACTGAAGCAGGAACATCCAGCTGTTAGCCGTTACGTTCAGGTTTGTAATGCGCCTTATAACTGAAGACTGTTCCCCGGGTACTTGGTGCACCTGATGAACACACAGCAGTGTTTTTGTGATGATCATTTCATGTCTTTATAATATATTCATATGTAAAGCTGTGTGATTATAATGATCAGGGTTAAGGAGTATCTCACACTGTGATCCACTCTGCTTTT